TATTCGAGGAAAAATGCAGGTATCTCAGCTCTGCACATTTCTGAAATAGAGTAGGAATAGCCAACATCTTTGCGTGTGGGCACCCTTCCCCACAGAAACGAGCCGGCAAAGAGATAGGTTTCACGGCGAGTGGAAATACCCTTCCCCAGGGAGCACGTGCTGGGTGGGGCGGACGTCTGTCGCAAAAAGGGCAGCTCTTGCCAGGCTGCCTTGGAAATCCTGAGCAGTCCAGGGCACCTTTAGTCCTCCTTTTCTGCATCTTAGGTAACACATGTGGTAAATATAAGCCTTCGGTTTTCCAAGAAACATAATATAAAAACCTGAATTACTGGCAGAGAAGCTTTAAAACCATTGGTTCCTAGGACTGCGTGGACACATTTTCCACACACCGTGATTTTATTTCATTTGCCTCCAAGGGACGGGCCTGAAGCAGCTCTGTTGCATAAGGTGCTGTTTCCAAACACCTTGTTCCCAACTGGAGACACAGAGTAAGTTTTATCTAGATCCGAGAGCACTCTGGAGGGGTGACATCGTGTTCCAAGCTGCCCTGGTTATAGTCAACAGTGGGAAAGTAGCCAGAGCCTTCTCACCGAGGAAGCGAGTACAATAGTCTAAATACTGGATGGCGGTTCTTGCTTAAAGCACAGAGTGGTCATAAAAACCACTTAAGGAAAAATTAATGGGAGGAAAATGTCTTGAATGTAGCAAATAAAAAAAACTTTATGAGGGACATGGAAAAAATAGATTTACTATGAAGGGATGGTAACATTGGGACGTAAATCTTACACCAAAAATAATTCAACAAGTAGTATTTACGAAAGGCCTCACGGAAGGATTCCTCTAAAGAGCCCTATCTGTCCTTTGTTTTTCCCCTGCCCTTCTTCCTTCATTCAGCAAACGACTCCTGGGTACACACTGTGTGTTGGGAAGCCACGGTGAGTGAGTGAGACATCCTTCCTCCCCTCGTGGTCACTCTGGCTGGCTGGCTGGCTGGAGGGACAGCCCCTGATCAGATCAGCCCTTACTGAAGGAGCCCCTGACAGAAGGATCTAGAAGGCAGAGTCCCGTGGTGCTATGGCAGCTCCTTCTGTTCGGAGGGTCAGAGAAAGCTGTCCCGGAGGCAGTGACTGCAGGTAGCGAGCACATCACACGCAAAGGCCCTCTGTAGAAGGAGCCTGGCCCTTTGAGGAACGGGAGACCATAGGGCTGCAGAGGTCAGCCGGAGCCACGGGGCAAAGGAGGTCTCGGAGGCTGTGGTGAGGAGGAGGTTTTGATTCTAATTTTATGGCATATAGAAATACTGCTCCCTGGGGGAGCGGGGAGAGTCACTGAGGGTTGTAAGCAGGAAGTAAAATAATCGGCTTGGCTTAAGAAAAAAAAGAAGACGACAGCCACAAGCTGTGCGGAGAATGGGCTGACAGTGTGGGGAGCTCACAATGGAAGCAGAAAGACTAGTCAGGAGGCCACTGTGCTCGCTGGGCAAGAGCTGCTGGTGGTCATGGGGACAAGCCAAGTGGACGGGCTGACTCATCCAGGGCTCATCGGAGAGAGCACTGTGACCCAGATGAAATGAACTCAGAGGGCAAGAGCTGGGGCTGACCACATCCCACCCAGGCTCATCTGATCATTACAACTTAATTCTATCAGTTGATGAAATGGATAGCATCCTCCCTGGGGAAAGGCAAATCAGGTCTGGATTATGTGTACTAACAGCTACTACCACCTGAGTATTCCGTGTGTTTAGAGGCCCAGCCACATTCCCAGGTCACGTTACAGTCCCGTGCGTGTAGTAGCTATTGTCACAACTGAGATTTAGCGACGTCGAGGAATTTGCCCAGCTGGTGACTGGCAGAACCGGGACTGAAACAGTAGGCACCGGCCTGCCCTGGGACAAGTAGTAAGTCCCAGGAAACCTAGGCATACACTGGCTCTAAGGACTGGCTGCTGGTTCCAGCCCAGGGCAGCAGGAGCCGCCTTTGTCCGCCCACCCAGGAGTGTCCTCTGGCAATAGCCAGCTTGGGACCTTCTCCCACACGTGTGTGCATGTGCAAAAGCCTTCCCACTCACAGCTGGGCTTTTTCTTCTGGGTTATTCCATCTAGGGCAGACCTGCCTTGTAGGCCCTGGGCAGCAGATTCCTGCCCAAGGGGCTGACTTCTGTTCCAGAAAAATGTCACATTTTCGCAGAAGCTGGCCAGAGTGGGTGGGAAGAGTTGGAACCACAACACTCGGGAGTAAACGGAATGCGGTGGGAAAAGGCCTCGGGGCGGGAATGAACGCTGCAGGTTCCAGGAGCTGCACAAATGTCCCAAGGTACAAAGACTGATTAGGTGATGTTTTCATGTTAGAAACATTTCTGCCATCTGCCTGCCTGGGAGGAGGCAGTGTGTGGCCTTACTCTGCAGGCGACGCCCTGGGCAGTATCAGGCTCCGGACTGGAGACCACGCGATAACGATGGGCTCAGAAGAATGTGATCAAACTGCCTTTACGCAACAAATTTGGCCCGAGGGAGCCCTCAGACAGACATCAAGGGAATCTGAGTTGTCCTTTGGATTTTTGTTTCAAACAAAACAGCTTTATTTGGTTATATGCATGTGTACTGAACCCTGTTTGAAACCTACTCTACTAGTTTCTTGTTGCTGCTGTAAACAAATTGCCACAAACTTAGTGGCTTCAAACATGTTTAGTATCTTACAGTTCTGGAGGTTGGAAGTCTGAGAAGGGTCTCACTGGGCCAGCGTCACGGTGTCAGCAGACTGATTCCTTCTGGAGCTCCGGGAGGGTGTATGCTTTCTGGTCTTTTCCAGCTTCTGAGGCTCCTGCATTCCCTGGCTCGTGGCTTCTTCCTTTATCTTCAGAACCAGCAGCATAGTTTCTTCAAAGGGAGCTGCATAGTTTCTTCAAAGGGAGCTGCATAGTTTCTTCAAAGGCAGCTGCATAGTTTCTTCAAAGGCAGCTGCATAGTTTCTTCAAAGCCAGCTGCATAGTTTCTTCAAAGCAAGCAGCGTAGTATCTTCACATTTCTGACTTTTGCTTTCAACGTCGTATCTCCTACTTTGAACCTCATGTCTCCCTCTTTTCAGGGCCCTTGTGATCGTACTGAGCCTACATGGATAATCTTCCATCTCGAGATCCTTAATCAGACCTGGAAAAAAGTCCCTTTTTCCATGTAAGATAATATATTCATAGGTTTCAGAGATTTAGAATGTGGACATCTTTGGGGGTTGTTATTTTGGGGAGTTAATTTGTTAAAGAGGGACTACCACCCACTTTCTCAAGTTAAAGTAAAGACTGACAGCTAGGAGGAGGGTGGACTGGAAGCAGGCAGGCTGATGTTATGGAGACCAGCCCAGAGGCTGCAGTGGAGTCAGCAAGGGAGATGCTGATGGCTTGGGCTGGAGTAGAGGGGGAAGAACGAACACAGGACATGTTTCGGAGGGAGGATTGCCTGGTCCTGGGAACTGCTGGGCTTAGATGGGCAAAGACTAGAAGGAGACTGGGTAGATGGTAGTGCCTCCTCGTAGGGCCCAAGGGGAAGAACAGGTTTGTGGCGAGGACAAACAGGTCATGTAGGGATGCACTGCTTCTAGATACCCACGGGACATTCAGGAGAGGTGCCCAGGAGGCAGGCGGACCCAGCTGTGACTCCTGGAGCCTTCTCTCCCTGTGGGCATACATGGCCTCACTCTCCACCTTGATTTCTGGGTTACCATCTCTGTTTGACCCTAAGTTCTCCATTCCACAAAGGAGCTGAGGAGCAATCTTGTATTTCTGAGGCCAGAGTAGGCACTGACACATATTTCACATCAAGTTGGAGTTTATCAGCCCTGGAAACATGACTTTCAATCATAGAGAGATAGTCACTTGCACAAGACTTTCAACCGGCATGCAATAGAGCAGTTGTTGAGCAGAGATGTTAGAGACTGGGATGTTTTGAGCAGGTAACCAGCTGGCTGCTGAACAACTCTAGAGCCTTGGAGATATGGATTCAATGGCTGGTGGAAAACAAAGGCTCTTCGGTTTTTTTTGTTTGTTTGTTTGTTTGTTTTGTTTTTACCTGAGTTCATGGCTTTCAGGGAAACCAGGTCCACAGGGAGGTCCACAGGCAGGGAGAGAGAAGAGAGTCCACAGGCCCTGGACCAGAGGACACAGGTGCCTCCCGTGTCAGCCCCCAGGGCGGCTTAGGTTATGGCCTTGGTGCCCTAGAGGGTACTTATCAGACTGTTTAAAAAAGTTTTTTTTTAAAGGACTTGACTTATTTTTTAGACAGAGGGAAAGGGAGAAAGAGAGGTAGAGAAACCTCAGTGTATGAGAGAAACATCAATTGGTTGTCTCTTGCACGCAACCCAGGCATGTGCCCTGACTGGGAATTGAACCAAGATGAACCCGTGACTTTCAATTCTCAGGCTGGAGCGCAGCTCACTGAACCACATCAGCCAGGACACTTTTCAGCCTGTTTATTGCTATAGGTGATCCTGATCCTTGGAATAACCTGGGTAAGAGGAGCTCAGGGTAGACCAAGATTGAATTTCCCACCAGCCTGGAAGATGGGGGCTCCCAGTAGGATTTATGCTTGATTTACAGGAAATAAAGGAAGGAGGTATTTTGCACAACACATTTTAAGCTCTTATACTTCACACTGTATAGTATGGGGCACCTGCATATTTATTTACTTATTTGCTTAGTTCTATCGTCCCCTTAGCAGGGGCCTCATGGGTGGTCTCCACAGTATACCCAGTGCCCTGCACAGCCTCATTAAAATGTGCAGGAATATCCCTGAAAATGGTGGTCTCGGTAGAAGCTGGAAGAGGGTGGTTTTGGAACAAGTTTTAGGGTTTCGAGAAGACAAACTGGATTGGAGTGGTGGGAGAATGAGTTTTCTAGCAGAAACGCTGTAAAGGAACGGTGAACCGGCCGGCTCAGCCGGGGTGCAGGCGCGAAGTGAGGCAGCGCGGTTTGGCCGCTGTGGGGCGCCGTAGCTCGCGCCGTTGCCAGGGGAACGGGTCCAGCGCCGGACGAGGCCCAGCCAGCCTCGGCCCGGCCCGGCTGTACAGCCATCAGACCCCTGGATCCGGAGCCCTAGGACTAGCCGTCCTAATCTCCGCCGCACAGCTCGGGATGGGGCTCGGCTCCGGGGTGCGCCGCCGCCCGTTCCCGGGGGCCGTCCGGGCCGCGAGGGTCTGAAGCGCGGCCGCCCGGGGAAGGGGGGCGTGTGGACGGCCAGGCGCGAGGGCTGAACCTCTGGGAGACCTTGGCGGGGCCGATCTGGCTGGCCTAAATGACGCGCAGGTGAGGAGCTACCGCCGCGGTATTCTCACCTCGAAGCCTGGCCTGAGCCACTAGGCTGCGGCTGTCACCACCCAGCGGTGTTCTGCCTCGCTTGGGCCTGGAGCCCGCGGCCTTGGCCGCAGGGATCCGTCAGAGCGCGGGGCTCCCTTCTAGTATTTACCAGGCTCACAGATCTGCATTGAGTGCCTACTGTGTGGCAGGGGAGGGGCCACGGGGGGCTCCAAACAGCCAATCTCCAGACCCCGTGGAGGGCGGGGGCGGGGGTGGACAGGTGCCAGATACACGACTGAAGTGATTTGAGGTGGGGATAAGGGCTCGGGAGGTGAAATGGAAGAAGGTGGCCGAGGAGGGTCTGTTGTCAAAGTTGACTGAAGGTACGAGCTGAAGGTTGGAAAGGAGCCAGCATCGTGAGCAGGGGAGGGGTGTCTCTGGAAGAATGAAAGGCAAATGCAAAGGTCTGGAGTCAGCCAAGTACTATGGTGAGGGAGCCCTGGAGGATGTGGTGGGAGTTTCAACTTTGTTCTAGCAGGAGGAGGAAACCGTTGAAGAGTTTTGATGAAGTTTCAAGTTTTGAAAAGCTCACCTCGCTCTGGTTGCTGTGGGCACGACCGGGCACACCAGGAAGTCAGTTGAGGGTCATCCTGGTTCTGCCAGTCTCGCTGTGCCTCCCAGGTGAACTTGCTCAGTCTTTCTGAGCCTCGGTGTCCTTACTCATCGGTGAAAGGGGGATGTTGCCCTGCACGGTGTTTCTAAGAGAGAAAGTGAGGGCCCAGCTACCCCTGAGGCCAGTGTCTGGAGAGGTCTCTGAGAACAGATTGAAATGATAGGATGTAACTCAAGAGAGTGGCGAGGGTTTTACTAAGTGAATTCCTTCAAAGCACTTAAGGCAGTGCCTGGCACCAAAGTGACCCCTAAATGCTAGCGGTGGTTATTATCATCGAAGCCCTGTGGGGGAGCAATCATGGAGGCTTGGATTAAGGTGATGGCCGTGGAGATGGTAAGAAGTGGCTTAGCTTCCCTCACGGAAGGAGAGGCGGCTTTAGAAGTGGATGGAGGGTGGTCCCTACTTTTGTGGAGCTGGCGGTTCACCGTGGGGGACGGGTTTATAAACAGATAATCTTCATAAGATGGAATAAAAGCAATATCGGTGCTTAATTAACCAGTTTTTCCCCCCTTTTGTTTTTCTTACTTTGTTCTGTCACAACTTTGTTCTTAATGACTGTTTCTTGGCGGGTGGTCTTCAGGGCTTGCTCCCTATAATCAAGTGAGTTGATTTCCTGGTTAAAGTCAACAACCCTTGCCTCCACTCACTGGCCACGGTTCTGCTCCCTGTCACTCCGTCCTTGTCCCCAGTTTGCGGCCATTGCTTCTGGAGGAGAATGGCACAGAAAATGTTTGCAGGCCACATCAACTCGGGAATGACGGAGGTTCCCAGCTCCCCTTGCCACAGCATCGGACCCCTGCACGTTGTCAAAGGGAGAAGCCCAGCCTCCCCTGAGGCCGGTGCCTGGGGGGCAGGTCTATGAGAACGGCTGGGAGCTCCAGTTTATTTTCTGGGAGTTGTGGTGGTGTGCATCTCTTAGTCAGACTAGAGCACCTTCTAGAATTTTAAGGCCACAGACTTCTCTGGGACCTGTGGGGAATTTTAATCAACAAAGTACTTGCCCCCCAAAGTTCCTTTTAAAGACTTTTTACACTGTAAAACAAGGCACCCTGCCCTCCTTTAGGTGGTTAAATTGGGCATCTGTTAACTCTTGGTGAAAATTATTTCCAAAGCAGATCCCGGGAGAAAAACATTTACCTTATTTAGAAATATCCATAGAAAACCTCTCGCACAGCAACCATAAACCCTCTCGCTAAACCAGGAGAGGCCGGGAGCATCTTTTCTGTGGCGCGTGCCTTCCCTTTGGGTTCGGAGCTGCGTGGGCCCCTGACCAAGGCCTAGAACAAGGTCCCACCCAGCATCTCCTTCCTTGCACTGCCTGGTTGTCTGCCTCCGGCTTGAACAAGACCCCAGCGGCCCGTGGGGAGCTCTGCAGCGCTTGCTCACGGCCCTTTAGCTGGACTAGTCGGAACTGCTCTTGAGATGAGAAAACGCTGAACTGAAACTGAGCACTCACGTTGCCCGGTTGTCAGGCAGGAGCTCCTTGTTTGTTTGGCGGAGTACAGGCCCTGGCTCACACGAGCACATTCGGTCCTCACTGGCCTGCTCGTGGGGCCAGCAGGGCAAAAGGTGACACCGTGCAATTATTTATTATTTGACAGGTTTTTTCTTTTTTTTCCCAAAAGCAGTGCATGCACGTGGCTAAAAAAAAAAAAGTAAACAGTACCAAAGAGTACATAGTAAAAGCAAATCTCTTTCTCACCCCCAGACACTAGATCCCCTTCCCAAAGGCTGACCCTCTGTTCGCGTCCTTGTGTTTCCTTCCAGAGGGAACCCGCACACACGGGGACACAGATGTCTGGCCACCGCCTCTGTGTTTGCTCGCACGGTAGCACGCTCCACAGCCACCGCACACCTTGCTTTTCCACTTACCTGTCATTCCCTCCTCCCTGTTTTTAATGTGGAGTCGAGTACTGTTGTGTGGATGTGCCATGGTTTGTTTGTATTGTTTTTTGTCCTTTATTATTACAAACAAGACTCAGTGTGTCTTTGTACACTTTGTGAGTGTGCGTCTGGGATACATCTGTACAAATGTGGGCCTGAAGGTGCATGTGTTCTAAAGCTTGGTAAGCATTGCCTTCGAGCTAAATGTGTTTGAAAGGTGGGAGAAGGGGAAACCCAGAGTGTCTCTGTGACATTTGCACCCCCTGCCCGAATTCCTCAACCTGTGAGCTGCAGTGCAGGGTCCAGAACCAGGCTCTGTCTCTGGGCTTAGCCCTTCAAACCTTGCTCCAACCCGCCCCCGCCCCACCGCCCCATTGGCGGCTCAGGTCTCTGGGCCGTCCAAACCTCTCCTCTGACTCCGTCCCTCCTCTGACCCTCTCTCCCCATCCGGTGGCCTCTCTCCACAAGCTCCCTTTGGTAGTTGAGTTGGTGGAAATCGCTTGTGGAAATCCTCAGCCATCTTGCAGGACTCCCGCAGTGCCCTCTCCAGGGCTGGTACTTGCCCTCAGTTTGCTTCTTTGGACAACTCTGCGCCTGAGCTGCAGAATCACATTCCTCACTGTTTTTCCCGTTGGAGTGGAGGTGGCGAGGGGAAAGTGGATCAGTCATGCAACTATTCTATAGTTGCATGTTTTACAGTTCTCATAAAGAACTCGAAATGTTAAGATTCCCCTTCCAGGTAGCCCAGCCTTATTTGGAGATGCTATTTCAGGCTTTTAGCAGTTGAATGTTAACATGAACAGATTACTGTCATCCTGGCAATGGGCTTCACCTTGTTGGGACAGGGCGGGGGGTTCGTCCTGCATGACCCCTGAGCCTGCCTTAGATGGCAGGCGGGTCCTTAGCTTACCAAGGTGACAGCTGCCTTTGGCGCTGACATTCCATGGGGCCTCTTCCCTCTCGCCTTCCCTCTGTCTCCGCCAGCTTGACTCTGTGGTTTGTTCCGTGGCAGCAGAAGGTATGTGAAGAGTCTTACCAAGGCCTGTGTATCTCTCAGCCGCCAAAGATGCAGCTGGGGACTCAGTGGGCTGGAGGGAGCGTATGGACTTGACTTCCACCTCCCAGCCATCTCCTCCCAGTGTACAGGGCTGCTAGTTGCTGTGGTGTTACCGCCCCCCACACCTTTTCCTCTCTCGCTCGTGCTCACTCCCCCACAAAGTCAAAGCTTTGGGCCTAGAAAGCTTTCCAGCCCTGGCTGGTGTGGCTCAGTGGATTGAGCTCCGGCCTGTGAACCAAAGGGTCGCTGGTTTGACTCCCAGGCAGGGCACGTGCTTGGGTTGTGGGCTGGGGCCTGTGGAAAGCAACCTATCTCTTGTGCATTGATGTTTCTCTCCCTTTTTCTCTAAAAATAAATAATTTTTTTTAAAAAGAGAAAGCTTTCCAAAACTCCTATCACCTTTCTGTCATTCTCCTGCTTTAAACTTCCTGTGACTCCCTGTGGCTCTTTCAGTAGTACCCACTTCCTCACCTGGCCCCCTGGGATCTAACCCTGCAGCTCCCCAGGGCCTGCCTCTCTCTCCCTCTCTCTCTCGCTCTCTCTCCTTTCCTCTCCTCTCTGCCCTTGCCTGCTCACCTTGCCCTCAGACCCTTGCAAAGCTGCTAAAATACCCCTTCACGCATTGCCCTGACGTCTGTCTGGGTACCCAGAGAGCAAGCCCCAGAGGGCTGGAGCCTGGTCTCACCTGTGTTTACAAACTCAGTGCACATAGGGGGCCAGGCCCCCATACGTGCTGGTTGGGCCAAGGCATGAGTGTGCAGGCTGGTCACACTGTCCAGGAGCAGAGCCACGGATCTTTCACTCTGGTCTCCTTGAGAAGTGCTGAGAGGGGAGGAGGGGCCAGAGTGACCCTGGGTCAGGTGACAGTGCTTGGTCCCATTTTGGATTCTCTCTGACCTCCCAGTTTTTTTGATCAAAATCTTTTGGGCCAAAAGGATGTGTGGTTACCAGCTCTACAAGGGCAAATGTCATCAGTTAAGAGCTGGCCAGCCCAGGCTTTGGGGCAGGTGGCATGTCTCCTGACCGGATCGGGTGTCCAGACTTCTGCTCCAGCTGCAAGGGACTCAGACCTACCAGCGCTGTCCCCTCATCCACAGTCTCACCCAGGTACCTCTCTGGGCCAGGGTGCCCTGGTTTCGAGTCGGAGCCACTTGAGAGGCTGTTTGCGTAGGCTCCTGGCCTCAGATGGTGCCTCCTGCTGCCTCGGGTGTCTGGCTGCTGCAGGACTGGGGGTGCCTGTGGTAACTGTGAGGCCACTCCTGGCAGCAGGAGCATATCAGCCTTGTACCTCTGCTTCTTTCTTTAGAAAGTCCCTCAAGGTGTAGGGCTGTTAAGGTGGGGAGATGGCAAACAGAAAGCTAGGACTGCCCTGGCTGATATGGCTCAGTGGATTGAGCGTGGGCTATGAACTGAGGGGTCACTGGTTCAATTCCCCGTCGGCGTATATGCCTGGGTGGCGGGCCAGGTCCCCAGTGGGAGCCACATGAGAGGCAACCATACACTGATATTTCTCTCCCTCTCTTTCTCCTTCCCTTCTCCTCTCTCTAAAAATAAATAAATAAAATCTTTAAAAAAGAAAAGAAAAGAAAAGAAAGCCAGGACTTAGGGACCCTAGTTCGTGGGTTCCCTTAAAGTTACTGCCCTGGTGATGATGTCGCCAGATAAGCGATGTGCAAGCCTGGGGGTTTGCCCCTCCTCCAAGCAGAACCATCGGCTGAACTGTATTCACTGGGCTTGAGCTGGTCACCTTTGACTATTTCCAGAAATCAGGGACAAAACAATTTTTTTTAAAGATTGATTGATTTTTTTTTTAGAGAGGGGAAGGGAGAGAGAAAGAGAGGGAAAGAAACACCAATATGTGGTTACCTCTCATGCGCCCCCTTCTGGGGACCTGGCCTGTAACCCAGGCATGTGCCCTGACTGGGAATTGAACCAGCGCCCCTTTGACCCACAGGCCAGCACTCAACCACTGAGCCACACCAGCCAGGGCCAAGGATAAAACTTTCCTACCACTGGGGACATCCAAAAGAAAGTGATGCCAGCTTTTTAGTCACCTTTGATTGAAGGTGAGAGGGTTAGAATGGCGACCCCGCGGCCCAGCTCCTGTGACACTGTTCCTTGAGACCACTGCTGTAAGAAAGCTACTTCCACCAACCCCGTCACTTTGGCCTTACACCTCATAGAATGCCAGATATCAGGTGCCTCAGTCTGGAGAAGTGAGAACAGCCCACCCGAAGGGCTATTTTAAGGGTGGTTCTGATGCCTACCATTTAGGGAGCATTTCTGTGGCAGGCTTCACCTGCAGTGTCGCTGATCTGTCCGCGGCCCGCGGTAGGCAACCCTGATCCCGTTTTTCAGAGGAAGAAACTCAGGGCACTCGGCTAGCAGGTGCTGAGCCGGGACTTGAACCCAGATCTTTGGCCTCCAAAGCTGGAGCCCTTTTCTTGCCGTTTGCTGCTGCTTATTGAAGACAAAGCCAATGACCCAAGGATTCCAGTTGAATCCCTGGAAGAAAACTAGGATCATCTCATTTAGCCTTGAGATGAAGCTACTCAGAAGTGGCTGCAGATATGCCAGGCTTGGCTTTCAGGAGGCTCTGAGCCTCGGGTGGGATGAGCGTTCAGTAGTTAGGCTAACAGCCAGTGGGCAGGGGCGCTGGGGCGGAGGAGGCATGGGTGCGTGGTGTCCATGGGGACCCGGGAGCTGTGGGTGCGTGCTGGCTGTGCAGACTGGAGGCAGGGCGACGGGGCCAGATGGCTTCGGGCGGGCCGGGGCTCCACACCATTTACTGTGCCCACATTTCCTTTTATTGCAGATGTTCTCCAGTCAGCAAACATTCACTGAGTACCTTCTGTGTACAAGGTATGTTCTGGGTCCTTGGGGGAGGGCATGTAGGGAGCAGAGGTGAATGAATCACAGTGTATTTACTGCCCTTAGGGGAAGCTGGAGAAACAGGGCGGCAGGGGGTGCAAACACACAGGTATGGCAGTGTTCCAAATGGCAAAGCCACTTGCCCGGTAAAGACTGAGCATGAGGGCCCTGGCTCCACTTGGAGTACCCCCCCCCCCCCGCCAGGAGACACTTTCAGTGGGCCTAGGGTCAAGTTCCATTTGCTGGGCTGAGAAGTGAGGCAGGCGCATAGGCATGGACTCCCGAGAGTCCAGCTGCCAGGGCTTTGTCTCCAGCTCTTGGCCTTCCCTGCAAGAACTCCAACTGGGCCTGTCTCTCCGATATGGTGCTGCCTATCCAGGCTCTAGTCCCTTCTCAGGCCCAGAAGATACTAGGGGGCCTGGGGCTCTTCTTCCTGTAATGATAGGCCCACCCTGCCCGCCCTGCCTGTGACTTTGGCCACCAGGCCAGCTCTTGGGCCTAAGGATGGCTGTGTGGTAGTGCTGCCATCTGGTGGCCAGTTCTGGCCAAGGCCTGGCCTTCCCTGAGCTCCCTCAGGTCAGCCCACCTTTCACCTTTCCTTATTTTATTTTATTTATTTTCAGAGAGAGGGGGAGGGAGGGAGAAAGAGAGGGCAAGAAACATCCATGAAACATCCATGTATGGGAGAAGAGAGAAACCAGTACAAGAGAGAAACCGATCACAGTAATCGGTTGCCTCTTGCACGTCCCAACTAGAGACCTGGCCCGCAACCCAAGCAAGCATGGGCCCTGACAGGGAATTGAACCCGAGACCTTTCAGTTTGCAGGCTGGTGCTCAATCTACTGAGCCACACCAGCGAGGGCCAGCCCACCGTTCTGCGCTCAGTGCACCAGGCCCAGATTTTACTTGGAGGAGCATGACCATTTCCTCTGCTGGAGGGAACCCAGGAGGAACCCTCCCCTCGCTCTTGTGTGCTAGCTCCTCCCCAGCCAAGAATCCTCAGCAGCTCTTCTGAGGCACAGGGGAGACTCCTCGGTTCTCCCTGCCCTAAAGGAATTACACGCTTGCCCGGGGCAGAGGGCAGATTCCCCTTCGGAACAACTCCACTCCCTGTTTCCCTTAACAAATGGTAAGGGGGCCCTCTCTGACACTTGCATTTGGGCCACAGGACAGAGGTGACTAATCGTAACAGAATCAGCATGTGTTCTCATCGCTCTGGCCCCGGCTCGATATTGTTACCAGATGAGAACATGTCTTACTGGGTTTAACTTTGATGGCTGTGGAGACAGAACACTTGGAGTAACAGGCAGCCCCACTGTGTCCTGAGTAAACCCTGGACCCTGCTACCTTGCACTGGCCGGGGCCGGGGCCACAGCTGGCTCTGGGGCTTTGAGACCACACTCCACTACCACGCTCCCCCACTGCTCGGCCTCATCATGCTAGGGCACCGGGTTCCCCTGCAGAGTAGCTGGGAGGTGGTTTTACACCCCAGCCTGCTTCCCCCACTGCTGAAAGCTGGCTGCAGGCATGGGCTCCGGGCTCCAGCCCAGGCCTCCTCAGGCTAATGCTGCCTCTGCTCTTTCTCCCTCTGGAGATGAACATCTGCAACAAGCCCTCCAACAAGACAGCCCCTGAGAAGAGTGTGTGGACAGCGCCCTCGCAGGCCAGCGGACCCTCCCCGGAGCTGCAGGGCCAGCGGTCACGCCGGAATGGGTGGAGCTGGCCCCCTCACCCGCTCCAGATTGTGGCCTGGCTGCTGTACCTCTTCTTCGCTGTGATCGGCTTTGGGGTCCTTGTCCCCCTCCTGCCTCACAACTGGGTGCCCGCTGGCTATGCTGTATCCTTGGGAGAGTGTCGGGCTCGTGCAGGGGATTGTGGGGGCAGTGGATGGAGAACATGGCAGAGGCCTGAGGGTGGGCTCCGGAGCCTCAGGCAGCACGGGCAGGTGCTGTCTCCTCCCGGGGTGGGCGAGGGGACCAGGTGCCTCCCTGCCTGGCCTCCAGCCTCCATGTGGCCCCTCTGCCTGATGTGGTGACCCTCCAGACTAAGGTCCCTGGGAGCATTTCAAGCCCCACAGCAGAAGGGAACCCCGTCAACCAGGGTACCACTTGAAGGCTCTCTTTAGGTTAATTGTGTCCAGAGCTCAATAAGGAATAAGTTAGAGAGTAATTATTTCATTTATGAAATAATTTTTCACTTTTCAAAAAGGGCCATAGAATTCTTGTACATAGTAAGGTTTCTGGTACATTTAAAGTGTGTTTTTATTTTGGACAGGTTATTATGCTATGCTATACTCATTGATTTTGTAAATCCTGCCCTTTTAGGGTAAGATTGAATTGACAGGAGGGAATAAAAGTGCCCTGGAGGCTCCTGGGAACAATGACAAACAGGAACCTGCAGGAGCCTAATGCTGAGACTGCAGTGGACGAAGCCGCAAGGCTCAGAGATGGGAGCGCAGGGGGCGGACACGTGCCCCGCCCAGAGGGCGCCCGTGCGCATGCGCCCTGGCGTGTGTGGTTCATGGAGACGATTCTCAGGGAGCAGAGCTCGGGCAAACTGGAGGTTCGCAGGGATGAACTTGAATGCCTCAGACGTAGAGTCAGCAGCGGAGCTTGGTCCCAGCTCAGCCCTTTCAGTGCTGCCCAAGGCTGAGCAGCTTCTGCCAGCTCTTTGGGTCTCAGCTGTCTGACAGGAAGAGTCCTGCCTGCTTTCCAGGGTGGGGACAGGGAGCACGCGAGGACGTGTGTCTGAGCTCCAGAGCGCACGAGCCTTAATTGTGAGCACACTGTCTTGTATGGGGCACGGGGCACGTGGCAGAAATAACAGAGCGCTGGGCTGGTGAGTGACAAGGGCAAGTGTGTGGAGAAGGGACTCCAGAGAAGGCTGCCACCCTCGGGCACCAGCAGTATTGCTGGGGGACTTCCTGGGCCTCGCCAGCTCCGTAAGTGGGAAACTGGACTTTCCCTGAGGTGGCCAGTAGGTCTTAGTCAAGGCTATTAACTAGAATGCTTCGTGGGATTTTCTTCTCGGGATGTGGAACGGGCACACCCCTCACTCAGGAGCCGCTGGGCGTGTGCCATGTGGTCTGAAGTGAGTGCAATCGGAACAAATAACAGGAGACAAGGAACCGTCACTTGCTGAGCACTTTTATGTGTGAAGCCTGTGCCGACCCCTGTACCAGGATTATCTTATTTGACCCTCAATAGTTTGAAGGTATCCCTCCCATTCTACTAAGAAATTGGGGCTCAGAGAGATTAAGTGACTCCCCGAGGTCACACAGCTGGTACCTAGCGAGGCCAGCAGCGATCCTCAGGCTCCGGGGCGGTTTGAGGGTTTTGCCCTCACCACATTCACTGCTTTGGGTGACGTGGCGGCTCACAGAACCACCAGGTCTGGCACCCCGTCCAGGCCTGGATGGCTCTCCTTCCTTCCGTCAAAGCCACCGTCCTTCTGCGGGCTCCCGCAGGTGAGGTAGGGCAACGATAGGTACCCAGTACCCACCTCGGGCCTGGATCTGGCCTGGGACCTAGGGTTGCAAAGCCTAGCAAGACAGACCCCCGGCCCTGGGTGCTCAGCCTCCCGCTGGGGAAAGCCTTGTAGACCAGGGACAGTCCTGTGGTGAGTGTGGAGGTACGGCTCCTAGAGGATACTGCGTGTGGATGCAGGAGGAGGGCCACCAGACCAGCATCGCCACCGGCCCAGACGCATGCCTGCTGTCCACAGCGTCCCCCCTCACCAGTGCTTAACCCACCTGTCCAGTTGCTCTCGACTCCGCCTCTTATCTGCATCACCTGTATCCAGTCCGTCATCCAGTCCTGTTGATTTTACCTCCTAAATGGCCATCGAATCGCCCTCTTTCCCCCACTGCCATCCGCCTCTCTTTTCTCCAGGACAATTGCCTTGCCTAACCTGCCCCCCGACACGCGCTCTCACCCTGGCCAGTCCGCCTGGGTCCCTGCAGCCACACTGCCCTTCCAAAAAGCAGACATGACGAAGTTGCTCCCCAGCTACATACCCTCTAATGGCTCTTTTTCTGCCTTGAGGGATGAGGGTCCAGACGCTCAAGGCTGTGTTCTGGCCTCTGCTTGTCTCGCCAGCCCCTTATGCTATGTCCTCCGTTGTTCTCTGCCGTGACCCCAGCCTCTGCCTGCAAGCCCCCGGCCTCTCTCTCCCCCCGAACACCCAGCTAGGTCAGGGGTCAAGAACTGACAGCCCACAAAGCAGTTTGGCCTACAGATTTTTAAAATTTTGAGGGATGATTAACACACAGAAGGACAGATTTTAAATGTTCCTTTGGCAGGTGGGTTTTAAAAAATTATTTCCTTGTCAACATTTAAAAAATAAGAGGCCTCACATAAAAATCCAGATTTCTGGTTCCTTTAGAAAAGCCAGAATTTGGTGGCATGGACCCTGGTTCCTTTTGGGGGGGGGCGGGGCCTCAATCTCGCATGGCAGCCCTGGGCTGAGCCGGAGTCACCCCTCTGGTTGGGACTCTGCTTGCCCCCAGTAACGAGCCAGGTCCTTGTTACCCATTCCTCTTCAAGTCTCAGCTGAGACGATACTTTCTCAGCGAAGCTTTCTGGGTCCCTTCAGGCTAGCTGAGGGTCACACAAACTCACACAGTCCCATGAACTGTCTTCACTGTAATCAACCCGTCATTTGATGAACATTTGCGTTTCCCAGCAGGCTGCAGGCTCCCGGGGGCTAGGGACCATGTCTGTTTCGCTCCTGCCATGCCCCTCAGCGCCTGGCGTAGAGAAGGACCTGGTGAACAGTTGGATGAATGAACCAGGTTGTGGGGGCGGGAGAAGTGCTGGAACAGGCTGGAAACGGAATGCCTGCCCACATTCAACGTGTCGGAAGAGAGGCTGGAATGGGGAGGAGTAGTGGTTGCTGATACCAGCGGGGTTTGAGAGGAGCCAGAGCGTAAGGGGCCTGGGCACTGAGCTGAGAGTAAACTCTAGCGTGAGGGCCATTGGAAGCCATTGTAGAGGGCAAGGCTTTAGGTTGAAGTTCTTCAAAGCTCACTTTGGGACCAAGTGAAGGGCGGACTCAAGGAGACTGAGAGAGGAGGAGCAGAGTCGGGAGGCTGTGGAACAGCCCAGGCAAGAGGTAAAGGCCTGACCCACAGCCAGGGCCAGAGAGGGGTTTTGGTGGGTCACAGGGTTGTCTCCTTCAACTATGTACCGCACATCAGGGTGGAGCCTGGCCTGTGCACACATATAGGGAAATTTGGAGGAGGAGGACGAAGGGAGGAAAGGAGGTTGGACAGCTGGTGGATGGAAGATGAATGATGGAGGCATGATGTTTTTGCCTGGCTAGCAAGAGGGTAAATGAATGGATGGTTGGCTGCCTGGGTGGAACCTGTTGGTGAGTTTTTAAACAGTTAGACTTTACAGTGCGTTGTCAGCCTACTCATCTCCAGCATTTGGTCCAATCACTGAGCAGATAGGTCCTGGAAGAGCTGTGTTTCAGCTCCAGGAATTAGATATGCTGTCTCTGGTCAGGGCCTGCACGTGTCAGGACGTCCCAGATGCTCAGCCCCAGGGGTCCAAGTACCTGGACTCTATCTAGGTCAGGGGGGCAGTGGGTGCGTGAGGCCCTGTCTGCAGTGATTGTCTGTTGGGCCCAGCTACTGAGAAAGGATGGCCTTTTCCCTCTCGGAACAGACTTCCTGTGAGAGCAAGACAAACAAGCTTAGGGCTTATATTTTGGGTCCCTTGACCTTAGAGGATGGTCTCCTTCAGTCTCACTTCTCATTTTGGAATCTGAAACCAAATCAGAATTGGAGGTCAGACCAGCCAGGGCCTGTGCCAAGCCTGGGACAGTGAGGCCACGGCCCTGTGTTCGGCCCCTCGGCAGCTGCGGGCGGTGCTGGCCTGTGAGCTCTGTTACCAGATGGCTGCTGTCCTCCTCCCTCGGGGGCTGGGTGCGCTGGAGAGGGCTGACAAGGAGGAAGGGGGTGGCACAGGCTAAGAGTCTCTTAATGAGGGAGTCACATGGAGGTGGAGAACAGTTCTCCGGCCACAGGAAGCAGGGGTGGGCTCCCAGCTGGCAGTGTATGAAGTGAACCTTTAACCTGTGGAGTGTATGGGCGCCATCTTTGCCGGCCACCTCGTGGTGCACCTGACTGCTGTCTCCATCGATCCAGCAGATGCCAACGTACGGGACAAGAGCTACGCAGGGCCCCTGCCCATCTTCAACCGCAGCCAACACGCACACGTCATTGAAGACCTGCACTGCAATTTGTGCGACGTGGATGTGTGAGTGCTCACGTGGACCAAGGGCGTGTGTGGGCGATGAGTGTGCCGGGGAACCTGTCTGCGGGAACTCGAGGCAGAGAGGGAAGGGGCATGCCCAGGGCTTTCCAGCCATCCTAACAACACATGTGTTTGTTTGTTTTTTTATAAAGATTTTATTTATTTATCTTTTAGAGAGGGGAGGGAGGGAGAAAGAGAGAGAGAAACATCGATGTGTGGTTGCTGGGGGCCATGGCCTGCAACCCAGGCATGTGTCCTGACTGGGAATCGAACCTGCGACACTTTGGTTCGCAGCCACACATGTGTTTTATACAGTCAAAAATCTTGATTGAGTGACAGAGAACTGGGTGAAGGAGAAGGTAAGGAGAAGGTGATTGGAAACAGAAGATGAGGAATAGCATTTCCAACAGTAAAAGTAGGAAACAGTTGGCATGACCCCACACCCACAAACATTTCTGATGAATAACATGGCCAGTCACCACCCCCCACCCCAATCTCACAAGCGTTCCCAGATAGGGACAAGGAGGGGAGTTGACACTTGAGTGCTTACCGTGTGCCAAGTGCTCGTGAACAACCACCACAGGGTGGGCAGCATCTTTCTCCACAGAGGAGGAAGAGCCCAAAGCTCAGAAAGGCTGAAAGGCCTGCCTGAGGTCATATGGCTATTGGGCAACAGAGCCAGAGTCACTGCCAGCCTGCCTAGTGCCTGAGCCGATACCGTTTACCCACGAGGACTCTGAGGCCCACAGAGGCCGGGTGACTTGCTCCTGCTCCACACTCCTAGTGGGCAGACGAGTCCGTGCGGAGCCCATACCCCCTTGGCTGGTCCAGACTTCCTCCCTAGAGCCCTTCCCTGCTCCTAGAGCTTCCTGCCTCCCAGCCTCAGGTGGAGGATTGGGCATGGGCGTGTGGTCCGAGGGCAGCTCCACGCCTCTGATCTGAAGACGCAGGCAGCCTGTTGGAAGAGGGCCTGTGCAGAGGACCGAGAGAGAGCCCATAGCATTAGTAAGGTGCTGAGGACTTTGGCATCCGACCGTCCTTCCCTTCGCTAGGCGCCAGTCAGCGTGGTGCTCCTCTGGCAGTTGCTGCCCACTCCAGCGCTCCGTCCAGCTCTGGGGGAGGGTTCCCCACTCTTCCACACTCGGTTGGGCTTCCCCAATCCCTCGCTGGGGCTGGGAGATTCCTATTCCTGATGTGACCTCACCTGATCTTTGGTGAACTGCCCCACGTTCACCTGGGTGTCATCTTGCTTGTCTTCCTTTGGCGCCCTTTGGATGAGCCCCAACAAGCTGAGGTTTTCTGGAAGAATGCCAGCATAAGTCCCATAGACTTGTAGGGAAACGGGCACTGGGAAAATGGAGGTGTCTGGAAGAGCAATGCAGGCCCTGAACCTAGCAGCCTTGCTCTGTTCTGCATCCTGGCCCCACACCTGCATCGTCTCCTGGTTCAGCACAAGGGTCCTTGCGTGAAAGGGAAGTCCCATTTCCGTTTCACACCACCGTCACCTGGCACACAGCTCCCAAGTGGGAGGATGTAGTGCCCCCTACCTGTTCTGCCTCTGGGTCCCCAGCTCTTCAGAAACACTGGCTCCTCCAGGTGCCTCGCTTACTCAGTGCCAGCAGAGGGCGCGCACGCTCCCCAGCACCGAGCTCGGTGGTCCCTGGGAGGTGCTGGTGGATAATCCGCTCCAGGCCTAGGACTCTCACTGCTCCAGCCAACTGCTGCAGCGGCCAAGGGGAGGAAAGGGGAGGACGAGGGGGCCAATCGCACTGTTCCTCCTCCCCTCCCACAGGAGTGCTCGCTCTAAGCACTGCAGTGCCTGCAACAAGTGTGTGTGCGGCTTCGACCACCACTGCAAGTGGCTCAACAACTGTGTGGGCGAAAGGAACTACCGGTGAGAGCGGATACAGGCTGAACGGGTGCCTGGGCATGTGCGGGTCTGAGTGTGAGTCGGGCCACTGAGACTGCAGTGGGGTGGGGCGGGGACGGGGGTCTGTGGAGGAGCTGCGTGCTGGTGTGCATCTCTGTGTGCTCCTGATGGCTGCCTCCTGGGGCTGCTGAGGGCGGGTTTGGGGTCTTCCCTCTGCTGGACCAGGGGAAAGTGGGGACCTGGGGGGTGGCCCCCCATCTTTGCCATTGCCCTAAGTTGGGTGAGGAGTTGGGCCTGTGGGATCAGAGGCCTCACTCCCCATCCTAACCATGGGTCCTTCTGAGTGCTGGGCCCTTTACCCAGCTGGAGCACCTGGGTGCTGACAGCTGCCCACGGCTGGGCCCAGGCTCTTTCTACACAGTGTGGCATCTGCTTTACTGGGTGTCCTACTCCTCGTGCTGGTGGCCACTTATGTCTTCGTGGAGTTCTTTGTCAATCCCATGAGGCTGCGTACCAACCACCACTTTGAAGGTCAGTCTGGGCTCCAGGCCTGCGCCCACCCTTCAGTCCCGGGCCTGTTCTGGTCACTGGTCACAGCCCCAGCTAAGCACAGGCTGCCTGTGCCTCACAGTCCTGAAGAACCACACCGATGTGTGGTTCGTGTTCCTGCCTGCCGCCCCCGTGGAGACCCAGGCTCCTGCTATCCTGGCCCTGGCTGCCCTGCTCATCCTTCTGGGCCTGCTGTCCACAGCCCTGCTCGGCCACCTGCTCTGCTTCCACATTTATCTCAGTAAGTGCCCTCCCCAACCCCTGGCACACTTGCCTTGCAGAGGGTAGGGGCCCCTAGACTGCAGGGAGGTGCCAGTTGGGCTGTAGAGCCCTGAAGCCATGCCCCTACCCACTGTTGGCTCTCTGTGGTGGCCTGGTCTCACTCCATGGCTTAGTGTGTATGGGGACAGTGGTTTCAGCCTGGGACCTGGGACCTGGGACCCTCCCTCACCTCCTGAACACCAGGGTCCCCTTTCCCCTGCACTGAGCCCTGTCCTCACCCCTCAGTGTGGCACAAGCTCACCACCTACGAGTACGTCGTGCAGCATCGTCCACCACAGGAGGCAAGGGGGGCCCACAGGCAGCTCGAGTCATGTCCCCCCAAGATGCGGACCATTCAGGTACAGAAGTGGCCCAGAGGGCTGAGGGGGTGGGAGATGGGCACCGGGGGGGTGGGCTGTGCAGCTCGCAGCCAGTGACGAGCAACGACAAAGGGAAGCAGGTCTGGAACAGCAGCTGGGGTAGGGGTGCCGGGTAGCAGGGGTGAAGCCAAGCCTGTACTGAGCACATGCCTGCTTGCTCAAGTGTGGGCCCAGCACAAAGGAGCCCTGCATTTCCCTGACCCTCTGTTTGTGCCGGTCTGCACTCCAAGCATGTGCTGGAGGGTCGGGAACGTGGGAGCCCAGAACCAGGCAGGTTGGAGCTGCGGGGGAAGAGAGGGATGGACCAGTGACTGGGTCAGCAGTTATTTCCACCTATACCCTGAGCCCTTATACGCTATTTAATCCTTAAACCAGCCCACGAGGCAGGTAATGTGGCCACATCCATGTTGCAGATGAGCACACTGAGGTCAAGAAAGGTTAAACAGAAGCTGGGTCTGGGAAGAGTTAAGGTCTTGACACTCTGAAGCAGGAACCCTCCAACCCAGGCTAGGGCCTGGCCAGCCCAGCTGCTGCCCAGCCTATCCCCATTCCCACGCCCCATGGCTTCCTGAGGTCAGCAGCTGAGGGGAGGGGAGGCCCAGTACTCAGAGCCCCCAGGGACTGGGAAGGCAGGGGGCCCAGGCAGGTCCTTGCTGGGAAGGCTGAGCCCTAGATCCCAAGTCCTCATGGCAACTAGACACAAACACAGGCTGGTGGGCGGGTTGGGAGAGGGTTCGGGACCCTGCCTCTCCCGTTCTCATTGCTGGGGGCGGGCCAGGCTGTCAGGGCCGGGGCAGTGGTGGCTATTGGTGGAGACCCCCTTCCTCACCACTGTGTGCCTGCCCTGGTGCTGGGCACTAACCCCGTGTGAGCCAGCACTGTGGCAGCCATCCTGGGGCCTGGGCATCATCCCCATCTCCGCTTCACAGAGGAGTCTGAGGCTCCAGCGGCACAGCGGTGCCCACTGAGGCAGGGCTAGCCCTGAGATGTCCCAGCTCCGGAGCTCTGGTCCCCTGCCCTGTAGTCACGACCTACCTAGACTTTGAAGCCAGATGTGCCAGCAGCAAGGACAGTTAGCGTCATCTGTGAAAGACCTGAGGGAGGCCTTCCCAGTGGGTGTGCGGGAGAGAGAGCAGAGGCTGAGAGGAGCCACGGTACCATTCAAGAATGTGCACGTGTCAAGGACCTCCCTCAGAGGATCCTAGGGACAGCTGTGGTGAGAGGAGGAGGATTTGAGCCGGGACACCCTGGTGACACCCTCAGACTTCCCCAGCCAGCTAGGGCCTAGCTCTTGTCCCATTCTGGCCCCTCGGGCTTCTGGGACCATCCTCTCCGGTTACCAGCTTCCTCTGCCCAACCCTTCTGGAGTCCAGGGACGTCAGGGCAGGCTCTGCCCCTCTCTGCTAGGCCTTGGAGGGGTGCTAGGTTCACAATGGGGAAGGGGAAAGATGTGGAAGGAGGATTACCTTGAGGTCCCAGTCCTTGTGACTGGCCTCAGACCCCTTCCTCTTTCCCAGGGTTCCTCTGCTTAGGCTGGCACCCCACACTCCTACCCCAAGGGCCAGCCTGGGCAGAGGTTGGACGTGCAGCTTGCTGAGGCTTCAATCTCTGCATTTGTGCAGCTGCCTGTGGCCAGCTAGGCTCCGTCCCCTAGATCTGCCAGTGCCCCAGGCAGCCTCCCCACCCCCACCCTGAGCAGGAATGCGGAAGGGGCCCCACTCTGGAGCCGTTGCCCCCAAACATAGCCTTGTTTTAGAGACCGTGTGTGCTGTTACATTGTCGTCTCTGCATTAGTCAGGACGCCTGGGTCTCCATGGAAACAGCTGTGGAGCAAGCGACAGCTGTCCCAGTGCCTTCCCCTTCCTCCCACCCACCTCCTACCCTGTGGGGCGGGGCCTTGTCATGGTCCTGGCCCCGCCCCACATCCTTGGCACCAGGCCTTGCCAGGCTGCCTTTTCCTGGCTTTTGTTTCCTCACCTGCAGTCCGCATAGGCACGCAGCTGGAGCACGTCCTGCCTGCTGGGGTGCAGGCCTAGGTCACTCCTGTGACATCCCAACTTCAGGCCCCTCCGCTTTCAGTCTCTGCAACAAACAGGGTTGCTGTTAGGATCAGCTTCTAAACAAGACAGAATTCACCCATAAGCCTGGTCCTGGATGGGGTCCTGGTGCTGTTTTTTCTACCACCCCACTGCCTTCCCTTTCTGGTTAGGGGTGGGGGGAGACCGAGCATTCCCCAGCAGCCAAGACTGTGGTTGGTACTCTGAGAATTCAGCTTGGCGGGAACTGTGGAGCCATGCACACAACCTTGGGTGCACACCTGGCTTGTGCACAGCCGGCTGCACCATGTCTCAGCTGGGGAAAAATCGGTTTAGAGACTGGAGTCTTGGGAGGGGCTAGGAGCTCAAGAGGGCAGATCTGAGCACCTCTTCCCGTCACCACCCTTGTCTAGAGCAGCTCTTGATGATGCATTGGACCCATGAGGCTGGGGGGCTTCCTGGAGGAAGAGTTTGACTAGATGAAATGAGGAGGTCTGTGGGGATGGGGTGAGGTCCAGAAATGGGTGTTTTAAGCTTCGTCCTGCAAAGGGGTTTTTCCAGCAGAGCTGGGGAGCCTGGAGGAAAACAGCAGACCTCTGCACCCAGACCTCTCACAGAGGCCTGGTTGGAGGGTGTTATGTCCAGGACTGGGTGGTCTCAGGACCTGTAAGACCCTGGGTCCACACCTGGCATCCCAGCCCCCCTCACCCCCACCTTCCCCAGGGGACAGACTTCTACATGCGGACCTTCAGCCACGTGCGTCCAGAGCCCCCTGGCCAGGCCAGGCCTGCTGCAGTGAATGCCAAGTGAGTGTGATCTGGACATGTGCCATCTGGGCATCTCCCATGGGCATGGCAGGGCCATCTGAGGTGGGAGAAAGGGGGCAGGCCAATGCCAAGACCAAAGCAAGGGTCTGGATCCTGCTCACCCTGGCCTTGGACAGATCAGTGCCCCTTTGTTGTCTCCTAGGAAGGGAGGCTTATTTGAGGACCTCCATCTGGGTGGGATTTGCGGGATTATCCACATTCAGAGTTTACCTTCCCACTTCACCCTCAGTTCCTCCCCATTCCTTGCCACCAGCGGCCAAGAGGAGCCTCCACCACCCTCTTCCCCAGAGATTCTCGCTCTGCCCCCTGGGATCCGACCCCAGGTACTGGGTACTGTGCTGGGCCCCCTGCCCCGGGGTGGAAGGGGATGGGAACGAAGCCTCCACTCTGCCTCACTCCTCTGCCTCATTTGATGATGAGGGACCTGGGGAAAGGGCACTCAGGCTCCCTGCTGTCTCTGCAGAAAAAGAGGAAGCCGGGTGAGGGCCCTTCCTGACTGGATCCTGCACCGGGAGCTCCGAGGGAAGGAAAGGTAGGGGCCCGAGAGTGTCGCGGTCCCTAGTCTCACATTTCCATCCACCCCGCAGGGCCCCAGGCCCCGGGCCACCGCTCCAGCTCTTCGTCGGATTCTGCCAGCGCTAGCCCGGTACACGCTGCCGGCCCTGCAGGCACCTACCACTCGGCGTCAGCCGAGTCCATGGATGAGATTCCCGTGGCTCAGACGCGCCTGGGCAGCGCCGCCCTGGCGGTTCCTGGAGGCAGGGGCGGAGAACCCGGGCTGGCGCTGCAGACACTGCAGGCACAGCTGCCTGCTGTTTTCGTGAGTCCGAGCAGCGGGGAGCCCGGGGCACCGGGCGGCCCGGAGGCTGGCCTGGCTTAGCTGGGCCGAGAGGCAGGAGGGCTGAGGAGGAGCGGCCGGCCGGGCCGACCCGACTCTCTCTATGCAACACCCCCACCCTCGCAGAACGAGTGCACTTTAGGAGCCCCTACTGCCGGCAGGATCGGCCCCCCCGCCCCCACGACTCAGCAATACCTGCCCCACTGGCCATGATGCTCCAATAAACATTTTTTATGCTTTTGCGGACTTACTGCAAACTTTTTGAATAGCAAGGGCCGTGGGCCCTCCTGGAATTGGACCATTGCCCGCCAGCCTAGGGGCCGAGGATGGGGTGGGCCCCCTTATAGTATGCGGCCACCCAGATTGTCATATGGAGGTGAACGAGGACCCAAGGTGCGCAGGCACAAAGCTCCTGGTTAGAAAAGATCCTAGAAGGCTGCGTGGAGGAGGCTATTTTTTTTTTTTTTAAGATAAGCGTTTTCACTTGGAGACCAGAGGGGAAGCAGGCTTTGCGTGCGGGAGGCAGCAGAGAGCAGAGACCCGGGAGGTTCAGGAGCTTTATCCTGGCGAAGGATGAGCCGTTAGGTGTACCAGGATGGTGGGACTGGGCACTCTTGATTTGCCCATTGTCCCCTCTCCCCAGTGCTCCTGAGTTGTGACCCGGGGATGCCACACGTTAATTGGAGAGCCATGGTCTTGAGCCAGCTATAGCCTCCACTACCCACTGGCGCCGAGGGAAGGGATCCTCCTATCCTCTGCCCCGCCCCTCACCCTCCCGGTCTCCCCCCTCCCCCCTCCCCCCTCCTTCAGCTGTGGCTCTGGGAAGCTGGCTGTCTGTAGGAGGCGGAGGCCTTGATCTTAGGGTGGAGCACAGAATGGGGGGCTGCTTTCCCATTAGGAAGCCATCGGGGACGTCCAGCGCTGCAGAGGGCTGATCTCCCGGGCGGCGGAGGCCTCGGAGCTGCCCAGGAAGCGAAAGGAGGCGGCAATCTTGGCAGCTCTGCCCACGCGAATCTCCCAGCGTCGATGGGGCGGGGTCCGGTGGGTGGAGCCAGCCTGACCTTGGTCACTCTCCCGCTGAGACAGCCCCGGGGGTGGGACTCGCCGTCTCTATGGAGACCGAGAAACAGGGGATAATACTGCAGAGCCGCCTGAGCTGCAGTCCCGCCCAGGAGCCGGCAGGGAGCAGAGCTGCAGAGCCGCCCGGTCTCCCGCGTCCGTGGGTCCATTCTTGTGTCCTTCTGTCCGTCGAACGCGGGCTGCAGGAGCAGCCACGAGGTAGAAGTCGGTAGGAGAACCCCTGCGCCAACCACCCTAAACAGTATCCTGCATGATAAGGAAGAGGGGTGGGGGTGGGAGCCGCCCGGAAGGGGTCCCAACCCTGGAGGGTACCGAGCTCAAGACGCCAGCTGAGCGCCCTGCCCTGGGACCTAGCGTTCCATTCCCACCCCCACCTTCTTGCTGGGCTGATTGATGACTCCAGCTGTCCCAGCGGGAGCAAGCTGGTGGCCCTGGGCGTGGCTGCTCCATCCATGGCCTGCAGGCCCCTGGGACTACAGCCTGTGACCTGGCTCTATCTGATCAGCCCCGAAATTACCAAGAATGCATCTTCCCACAGAAAGGAGTGAACACTGGATTCAGGAGCCTGCCAGTCTCTAGGACCAGCATCCTGTGGCATGGAAGCTCCCCTAGGCTCTAAACTCCATGAGCAAGCGCTAGGTCTGTGGAGTCCTTGATGGGAGGCTGCAGTGTAGGGAGAGGGAAGTTTAGTGCAGTGTGCACTGGGATTATGGACAGAGTCTCTGCAAAGTGACAGCTGTGGGTGCTCCCAGTTCCAGAAACTGGGACTTAGAGGTGGGTGAGTGTGGTCACTGGCCAGTGGTAGCAGAAGAGCGGGTAGTTGGTAGAGGCCGAGGCCACGGTCACTGGAGGCTCTAGTATGAAAGGCAGAGGTATAAGATGGTTGCTGAAGACATGACTGGTTGGGAGGCTGTAGTGGAGGAGGTGGGTTTGCTCAGGGAGGTCTCAACGCAGGGGGTGTCCCAACATAGTACCTAGGAGTCTGGAAAATGCAGGTCTGGGGGTGCAGACACTGGGGGGCTTCAGTGCAGGGCTGAGTGTGTGGCCAGATGATTGTGGATGTACAAACAAGGTTGGGGGTGTATGGGTGTGGTTGGGGCTGAGGGTGTGTGGAAGGAGAGTGGGGTGTAAGGCTCTGGTTAGGGGTCTCAGGAAGGGCTGTGGGTGCATGGATGGAGCAGCTACAATGCAGGGCCGAGGGTGTGGTCAGGGAGGCATCAGCGCTGGGTTGTTCCAGTGCAGCACTGTGGGTGTGGTCAGAGGACTGCAGGGGGACTGTGGGGGTGGGGGGCACCCTTCAATGCAGGGCTGAGCATGTTTCTGGGGAAGTCTTCAGTACAGGGCTGTTAGTATATATGTCAAGGATGGATGCTGAAAGAATGGTCCAAGCCCTGTCTCGGGGCAGCTGGTGGGAGCAGGGGACTGTAGGAGGGTCTGAGAGGAGCACTTTAGGGGGGTGCTGTGGGTGTTGTGAGGGAGGTTTGAGTACCAGGGGAAGGATGTGATCGGGGGAATAAGGCCGAGGGGGTGGAGGGCCAGGGCTGAGTGCCTACAGCTATGGGAGTGTGGACTGGTGTGGCGGTGCTCAGGGTATGGCCAAGGGGTCTCAGCAGAGGGCTGATGGTGTTGGGGAAGTGTGCTTTGGTGCAGGGTGTAGGCGTGAGGATCACAGGGCCAAGGCCATAGTCCTACTCATCAACATGCATCTGGGGGCTTATAACTCTACAACCCCTACCCTAGGCTAGTCCCCCTACCCTAGGCTAGTCCCCCAATCTCCTGCTCCTCCTCCATTCCACAGACTGGGAGGTTACAGCCCCAATGGGTGGCAAGGGACCAGGAAGCCATGGCTGTGCCCCAGGTGCTGGGAGTGCTAGCGTGCCCCACCCGTGGGTCCCTGTTCCCCAGCCCAACCCAGCCCAGCAGCAATGGGAGCTTCTCCCTGAGCCACTCTGACACCATCCTGCCCTTAGCAACATTCTCCAAGTAGCACCACCCTCCCTTAGCAACCGTCTCCAGGCTTCACAAACTGTGGCCAGGCCAGCCCCAGGCTCCCGCTCCCCTCATGTTTTTGTTTAACAGCAAATAGTAACAAGGTCCTGGCTGGGCCAGCTGCTCCCCTGCCTAGGGCATGCACCCTTGCCTGTGCTCTGGCGCCCTTCTCACCCAGGGCTGGGTCTTGATGGGCCCTCATGACCCTAACAAACACTGTCCTGACTAAATACCTGCCCAACTAGCAGCCTAGCCTGGCCCTGACCCAGCTTGGCATGGAACTCCCAGGGAGGGAGGGAGGCCTGCTCTGCCACTCTCACTTCTACCCAAGCAGGCCTTGTGCCAGGGCCACACAAAGCCATGATCCCAGCTGCTGCCCTCACAGTCTTTCGGGACAGGGCCACTCTGTTCTCAGTCTGGTGTGGGCATCATGATTTCATCTTCTGAACTCCACTTCAAGCCAGGGGCAGCATTAAGCAACAGGACTTTTCTTCTTGGGGCTCTTTCTCAGGGCTTGGGGGCCCAGGGAAACATTGAGTGCTGGCTCCTCTCTGCAGGCAGCTCTTGAGGGTATGTATCCTGAGTGCCCCCAACTCAGACCTTGCAGGTTTTGAGGTAGTGATATTCTGTGCCTTGGGGGCGGGGGAGCAGCTTGACTCAGAGGTGACTGAGGTGGGTCCCTATAGGGTGGCATGGCAGCGAGCACGGACGTGGCTGGGCTGGAGGAGAGCTTCCGCAAGTTTGCCATCCACGGTGACCCCAAGGCCAGTGGGCAAGAGATGAATGGCAAGAACTGGGCCAAGCTGTGCAAGGACTGCAAGGTGGCTGACGGAAAGGCCGTGACAGGGACCGACGTCGACATCGTCTTCTCCAAAGTCAAGTGAGCCCCAGGCAGTCTCTGCTTCTGATGTTCCCAGAAGGTGGGAGTTGAGGGGCTGGAAGCAGGGAGGACGTCAGGAAGGGGGGAAACTCACGGTGCCCACATACCTGGCAGGGGGAAGTCTGCTCGGGTCATCAACTATGAGGAGTTCAAGAAGGCCCTGGAAGAGCTGGCACCCAAGCGATTCAAGGGGAAGAGCAAGGAGGAGGCCTTCGATGCCATCTGCCAGTTGGTAGCAGGCAAGGAACCAGCCAACGTGGGCGTCACTGTAAGTGCCCTGCTGGTCTCAGGGAGATACTGAGGGGCATGTGGGGAATCTCAGCTGGGGTGGGAGGGGCTGGGCTCCCTAACCAGGTGCTCCTGGGGGCACTCTGTCCAAACAGAAAGCAAAAACAGGGGGAGCTGTGGAACGGCTGACGGACACAAGCAAGTACACCGGCTCCCACAAGGAACGCTTCGACGAGAGTGGCAAGGGCAAGGGCATTGCTGGGCGGCAGGACATCCTTGATGACAGTGGCTATGTGAGTGCCTACAAGAATGCAGGCACCTATGATGCCAAGGTGAAGAAGTGAGGCCTGGGAAGAGCCCCCCAGTATGGCAGCCCCATCCAGAGGCTAAGGCCTGGTCTAAGGGGTTCGTGGAACAAGAGAGCCTGGTCCCTTTCCTGCTGGAACTGCCATCCAGAGCTTCCTGCCCAGCCCCACTGGGCCAGCCCACCAGGTCTCTGACCCAGACTGCTCGGTGTCACCTTCCCCTTTCCTCCATGACTTCTGTCCCTCTAGGGACAGCCTGTGCCTATAGCCTCACCGCCCCAACCTAGCCCCGGGCATGGCTAAAACCCCTGACTGCTTGCCTCATATTTAAGCTGCTGCTCTGGCCAAGTGCCTAATTCTTACCCAGACCTCAATAAAGACACCTTTTGTATCAACATGGCCCGGCCACATATATGACAATGAGGATAATGATGTTCACACCCCTCTGACCCCTCAGTGTCACCACCTACCTGCCTGTGACATTGTTGATCCTCTCACTGGCAGCCCTGCCCAGAAAAAGACACACAGGTCCCTTCCATCAGCACGGAGCCGGACTGCCTGAGGATGCTCCTTAGGGAAATCACAGCCTTCTACCTGAAGCCTGACCCAGAGTCCTGGCACCACAGCTTGCCTTCCTGCAGTCAGGGCCTCAGCCTCAGCCTCTCTGCTTTTACAGCAGGAGGGATGAGACAGCAGATTCAGCCTGGGCCAAGTGTTGGCAGGGTGCCCGGTGCCAGGCCTTGGCGTTAGCCTGCTGATAGGCCCCCACTCCAGGGGGCTACCAAGGCGAGTCATTCTGGGCACCAGCTCAGATGATCAGAAAATGCAGAAAGAACTTTGGGGGCCCCAATCCACAGTTTTATAGCTGAGGGAACTGAGGCCCAGAGTGCAGGGCCTCTGCAGAAGAGGGGCCAGAGCCATGCCACTTGACTCCGAGGCCCGGCTCTTTCTAACACAGCAAGCCCCAACAGAACTTCCAGAAATGGGACTGATGGCCTGTGACAGAGCCTGGCACCCAACACCAGCCTTTGGTAGGTGAGCAGGGCATCCCACAGTGAAGGGGCTTCTTCCTTGCCGACTCCCTGCCATCTGTTCAGCATCCCAGGGTGGGAGGGTACGGGGACCTCTCTGGACCTAAGGACTCCTGGGAGTTTCTGGGCTCACCTTTCTCCTCTCTGAGGCTCTGGTTGCTAGGCCAGATATAACAAGCCCAAGGCTTTGGGGCCAGCTCTCCTTCCTGCTGACAAACAGGCTGATGGGACTGAGTGCCTTCCCAGTAGAGGACAGCTCCCGAGGGGGCTAGAAAAGGCTCAAAGGCACACACTCACAGATACTTTCTTTCCCAGCCCTGTTAACATGGCAAAGTAGCACAACAGCTTATTCCTTCATTCCACAGACTGTTCTGGGATGTTCCTGCCCCACGTGGCCCCAGAGTCCCTTCCTTGAACCTAAGTTCTCTTGGGAGTGGGGGTGCAGAGGAATAGCGTGGCTCCGGACTGGGATGCCGGGGAGGTGAGGCGGGAGCTGGAGGGCAGAGGATCCACGCCTGGCCACAGCAGAGCCCTGATGAACAGCTGACCGCCTTGCCTGGCACTGCCCAGGGAAGAGTTCCAGAGAGCCCTACCTCTCCCACCAGCAAAAATGATTCCTCTAGCCTTGGGGACCTTGTTTCAACGGAAGCTTGCTTAAATGAGCATAATGGGAGTGAAATCCAATCCTTCTGGCTTTCACTTGCTAAAATATCCTCACAGTGAAAAGAATTTAATTCGGTTGCAAATTGGTCCAGGCTATTAAGTGATTAAATTACAAGTGAGAGTACCATCCAATGTGGGGAGCAGCAGCTCAGCCCCTGGGGTGACTGGCAGTATGGGTCAGAGGAACCCAGACAGAGAACTGGCTGAACCCTGAAACTACCTTGTAGGAGTAAAGCCCCCTCTTCTGGGAAAGTGGTCATGGGGCCCAAGGGAAATCAAGACCCACCTAGAGCGAGGAAGAACCTTAAAGACCAGTGAGTCTACTAGCAGAATCTGGTACAAAGGCACGTGGCCCTATAGTGACCGCCCTCCATAGCCTCCCCGTGGTGGAAAGCTTTGGGAGCCTCTGGCAGCAAAGCCGGGTGGGCCAGAAAGAGTGGTTGGGATCTGCGGGATGGAGCCACTAAAACCTTTTACATATAGCTGGTGGGAAGGCTAAATCTGTCAGAGTGGCTCTGCCCCTTCTTTTGGGCACAGAACTTCCTGGAGGACTCAGCCCTCTTTCCTTCTTTCTCCCAATAATGTCAGGTGCCTTGAGCAAGGAATTCTTCTCCAGTTGTTTTCTTGTTGTGTCAGGAGCCATCCCCCTTCCATGCTGAGCTCACGTAGCCCCAACACTTCTTTGACACCTTTAATCCCTACCCTTGCCCTCTGAAACAAGGGCCACACAAGGAAAATCAGAAACACAGCTGACTTCCCCAGGGATGGCCATCCACCCTAGAGAGGTACCTGGCCTGGGGCAGGGCCAGCCACTTTCAGTGACATTAGAAAATACGGTGGAAAGTTACTCAGTCTGGGTCAGGCTTTTTGCTCCTTCTTAGCATTACCCTGAACAGGCTCTGGGGCCGACACTATCAGATGTTCACAGGGGAAGGAAGGGAGGGCTGGGGTTGTGGAAAGAAGTGTGTTATTTTCCCCCACAACAGTCTGTCCAGTAGGCTCCCCTGTGTACTGGGGCTGGGACCCTGAAATGTGATCATTCAGGGCTTCAAGGTTACTCAGGTTCTCTGGAGGACAGGCCCAGGAAAGGGAGGCTGGTAGTGGCGGGCGTTCTTACTGGCGTTCCCACAGAGCACAAGCTCGCTCTAGCTCCCTCAGAGCCATGCAGCTCAGAGAAGTGTATGGCTCCTCTGTACATACTCCTTTGGGAGCCCACATAAAATCCAGAAATCTATGGATTTGATTTATAACTTAGAAATGTGTGATCTTAGCTGTAATCTTCACATCTCATTATTATGGCAATAGCTTTTCTGCCCTGCACAGCCCCTGGGTCAGAGGGGCAAACAAGCATCTGATCTCTCCCCCTGCTTCTCTCTGACGTGAGATGAAGAAGTACAACACGGCACTGGGTCTCGGTCCTTCGCCCTCTACATGCCCTCTGGCAACATCAGCTCCCCGGTGACTCTGAGGCAGAGACGTACCACTTTCATTACCTTTTCCCATTGACTTTTAGAATGCCCCATCAGCCAGGATTAAAAGAAAGATGGTGCCTCGCCTGAGCCCAAAGCTAACCTCGTCTGGACTTCACCAGCCCTTTCTCTCATCTCTCTAGCTCCTCACAGGTCCTTCTCCACTCCACACAACCGTCACTCCCTTCTTCTTACAGAGAAAGCTTCTCAAACACCAGTCTGCCACTCCTCTGCCTTCCCAGGCTGCAATCCTGGAGGAGCCATGCAGCCTCACTCCTGCCTATCTCCTCTCAGCCCCTTGGTTCCATGGACCATCTTCCTTCCCATCCCGTGGCCTTTACATATGCTGCATCTCTCTGCAGTTCTCCCCATGGCCTCTGCTCTAGACCTTGTACTTTGCCTGGTAACTTTCTACGCATTCTTCAGGTCTTAGTTGAGAGATCATACTTTAGTGGATATTTTTCTGACACCACACCTCCCAGGCTAGGATTGGTCTCCCTGTTACATACTCTTACGGTACTATGGCCCACATCTTCCTTGCCCTAGATCCCTTTGGGGGCCCCAGATTCTCCCACTGTTTGCCAGAGAAGGCTCTGCTTATCCTCTACCTGTTCCCATGCTACTCGCTCTGCAAGCTTCCACTCAAACAAGTCCGCATTGACGCCTTCTCCATTCCCCAGAGTAGGACACGCCCCACCTCTTTCCCGGACATCTTTAGGATTTGTTTAGACCTGTTTGGTACCAATACCAAGCTTAGAACTCTATCACATGAGTTTTTGCTTTCCTCTCTACTGAATCTCCAGGGCAGACACCAGATCTTGTCACATGTACACTATGGTGGAAGAAACTCTAAATATGTTTGATGAATCAATCAGTATGGATTCTCTGAAATTTCCTCTAACACAAAACACACCTGGTCATGGATGTTCTTTTTAAACATCCTACCATACAGTTTGAAATGACGATTGAGAAAAATGTCTAGTGTTTTTTACTTTCCAACATTTTCTGTCAAATGTCTCTATGTGACACAAAGCTAGGACAAAGTGCCAACTATGTCTGTGGGCAGAAGGAAAGAATGACTTCATGGGAGGAGATAAGAAGAGAAATAAAGAGAAAGACCAATGCAATGTAGTCAGAATAGGTTTTTTTCTTCATATTGCAGGTAAATACCACCGTACTGGTGGCAATGACACTGAGAGCCCCCCGTGGCTGGGAGGGAAGCTGCGGAGAAGGTGTTCAGTGCTAGCTCCATAAACTAGGCTCTGGGACAGAGTCTGAGACACTCTGTATTAGATACTGACCCGTGTCATGTGCCCCTGGTGAGGAGGATGACAGCGTGCTTTTCCCAAAGGGTGATGATCTTCCCAGATGATGGCTCTTCTCAGGAGGCAGGAGTGCTTTCCCAGAATAACCTTTTTGCTCTTTATTCAGCTGCTGCAGCAGATACTCATTAGTTACCACCAGGGATCTGAGGCATGGGGGAAAAGGCAGTCACGCAATCATGAGAGCAGAGTAGATGCCATTCAGACCTGAAATGTTTGCTAAAGGCCAATATAAAATGAAGTAACATCTGTAAATAGAAAGAACTGTGCAGTTTACGAGTGGGTTATTTTAAAAGCAGGCTGACAGTTTCTTTCTTCATTACAGTTCCCTTTATGTTCCAGACTGACAATAACAGTAACACAATTCACATTTTATACAGTGATTGTTCTGTCCTTTTGGAGTACTTTCATGATAAGGTAAGTAGAAGCGCTGGGAGACTGACGCCTGACCAGGCCTCCAATTTCTTTCTCCAAATCTTAACTTCTGCTTCTTCTAATCTAGTCTGCCTCTGCATTTAACTAGTGATGCTAGTCATGGCTGGACTCTTGGACTCTGTACTACCATGGAGTGTTAAAAGCCATCAGAGACTGGCAAAAAAAAAGAAAGATGAATGCACAATGCTATTTTTTGCAATATTATTTGTAACAGCAAAATACTGTCAACCTAAATGTCTATCAATAGAGGAATAATTAAATAAACATACAATAGACTCCTATAACTATAAAAAGAAGTGAGAGCCAACTCTATACACCACTGTGAATTGGTTGCTAAGATAAAATAGTAAAGTATCACTATGCCTTTTTCTATATAATAGAGTCTCGCTCCACAAATACACACCCACACGTACAGTGGAAGGCTGGTGAGAGGGAAGGAAAGGATGGAGGAGACAGGCAAGGAATCTAGATTTGTCCGCATTTATCTAATTTTGTAGGCTTGACTTTAGAACCATGTAAATGTTTTACATAATTATAAAACAAGATTAAATCAAAATTTTAAAAAATCTCTATAAATCAAAAGCAAATAGACACAAATTGAATCTGTATATTGAATTGATGGTTTAACTACACAGAGAAAAATTATTTCAAATTAGTTTAAAATATAGCCATTTGGCCCTGGGTGGTGTGGCTCAGTGGATTGAGCACTAGACTATGAACCAAAGGGTCACTGGTTCAATTCCCAGTCAGGGCACACACCTGGGCTGTAGGCCAGGTCCCCAGTAGGGGGCACATAAGAGGCAACCACACACTGATGTTTCTCTCCCTTTCTTTCTCCCTCCCTTCCCTTCTTTAAAAAGAAATAAAATCTTTAAAAAAAATAAAAAAGAAAATATAGCCATTTGACTGTTCATCACTAAAGAGGTATACTCTAATGTTCTCAAAGCGTGGTCGCAGACCAGCTAAAGCAGCATCACCTGGTAACTGATTAGAAATTCAAATGATCAGTTCCCAGCCCAGACCTGCTGAATCAGAAACCTTGGGGGGTGGGGTCCAGCAATCTGCATTTCAACAAGTTTTTCAGGTGATTCTGACGCACATCTGAGTTTCAGAACCATAACTTTATGCTACTTGCTCCACTTCTGTATATGTTTGAAATAATTATATTGAAATGTTAAAAAAATTAAAAAGCCATAAGAATGGGTCTGGATCTAATCCTATGAATATGAAGTTACTCCAAGTAAAAAAAAGGAAGTAAAGTTTAAGGCTGAAGATTTGGGGATGTGGTTCTTACATTTAAATTTCATTGAAAGTCCTAATAAAGGTGCTCGCCAAATCAAAATGTCCAGGGCGTCTCTCAATGTACCAATAGTCTTGAGGCCTCTTCTGATTTGTCTAGCCTGCATCCTGAGGGTACAGTTCTTTGAAGAGGCTGATGCTATCTGAGCTCTTCTGAAGAAAACACATACATTGGATTCTCTCTGAGTGCTCAACATATTTCTCTGTGACCAGTGGCAGGCAGGCATTTTCCAGAGGAACCAGATGACTGATTTTAGGGGCACATAGTGACCAAGAAAAGCTAGCTGACCCAAACAAGGGTCCTGGTGGATCTAGAGGGAAACTACTTATTATTGAGGTGGTGCAATTCACCAGTTCCATTAAAGACATTTAATCCCTGCTGTCTCCTGGAAAACTGTATTTTGAGGCCTGAAGCTAGCTGGTCTAGATATAAGTAGTTTACACATAAAACAGAATTAATTTGAAAAGTATATAGATTTTAACTTGCCAGTAAAACAAAGGAGGACATAAAGGAAAGTAAGATCTGCTTCCAGAAGCCAGCTAGATAGACCCACTCCTACCTCTGACTTTCATGGAGAAGGGATACTGTCTCCTCCAGCTTTTTCAGCTGGGCAAGCTCCTGGTTCAGGCAAGCCACCTGCATGTTCAGCTGTTGGTTTTTGCGCAGAAGATCATCTACAAAAAACATAGTAGCCAGAGGTGAGCAGGATTCCAAGCAGCTGGTCTTTGACCAAAGCCTAAGGACATCTTGAAGAATTGGGGGCCCCCTCACTGCACCCATCTCCATACTCTATTCATTCCTTCCCTTGGAGACAGCAGATATACTGGCAACAGACATCTGAATTAAAATGCAATCACTTAATATTGCATGTTAGTTCATTTTTCTGGGATTCACTAGAGCTAATAACCCTGGCCCCATAGCATTGTTATGAGACACCTGTCCTCATTTAGCACAGCAAATCAACAAATATTAGGTCTCTGTATTCTCCATTTTAGTTTATGAATATATGTCCTTCACTCTCTATGGAGTGTGTGCAAATATCTGGAACTGTGTGACGCACATGGTACTAACTCAATGACTGCTTACAGGAACTGAATTTATAACCAAGACACACAAGCAGTTCCCCAAATATATTACCACTACCTGCAATAATGACGTAGGTAAAAGCACAGGAACTCTGCTCCTAAGAAAGTCTCCTAGAACTGTACTTCTTAAACTTTAGTACGTTTACAGATCACCTAGGGGGCTTGTTAAAAAACAGACTCTGATTCAGTAGGTCTGAGATGAGGCCCAATAACCTACATGTCGAACAAGCTCCCCGGTGATGCTAATGATGCTGATCTGTGAATCACACTTTGAGTACCAAGATTCTAGAAGGTAGAAAACAAGGCTGCAACCAGGACATTTATCACCAGAAGCCAAAATCCAGCACTGGGCCTCATGGCTGACTGAAAGTAGGTATCTAAGGGAACAAACAATGACCTGTTATCAGAGTAGGTAAGTGGAGATGCTTTGATTACTCAGGCTTGTAAATCAGATAGTCATGAGACTGAACTCTGGAAATTCAGTGCTGACTTCCAAATCAAGTTCCTGTGTAAACTGAAATGCCAATAATCTTTGTTTCGGGGTGCTGAGATAGTTAAAGTCAAGGGTAAACTCTATCTAAAATACTCACCTAAACTATGCTAATAATATATAGTACAAGTCAAAACTTTAAAAAGGTATTATTTTTCACTTATAACTATGGCAATAATTAAAAAAAACAGTGTGGGCAAGAATAGAGTGATTCAAATACACTCATTGTTGATGTGTGAATTGAAAAACTTTTGGGGCGAGTGATTTGGCAATGTGTAACAAAAGCTTTAAAAATGTCCATATCTTTTGACCCACTAATTCCACTAGTAGGAATGTCTCCTAGGAAAATAATCTGAAATGTACACAAAGATTTATATACATAGATATTAATAGCGGCATTATTTATTGTAGTATAAATATTAGGACTCTCAGTTCCACTAGAAGGGAAGAAAGACAATCTCAGAGAAGCATTTTCATTCTCAGGTCTTTTCTCTCCTTTCAGGTCTTTGAATGTTTGGAAATTCTTCAAAATTATTTACATTATTAACAATGGCAGCTTTGTTTATAATAGCTAATATTAAAAACAACTATGTAGAGGACTAGATAAATAAGATATATTTGTGTAACATTATAGGAAGTGCCTATACTGTTAAATTAGTCACATTACCCAATAGGTGATTGTCTAGGGTAGAGAGTGGGGGAAACTGTGCCAGGGTCTGAGGGAACTTTCTGGAATAGCAGAAATGTTCTGTATTTTGATTAGGATAGAATTAAATGAGTATATATTTGTCAAAACTCATCAAACTTAAAATGTGTGCACTTTGTTGTATGTAAATTGTTTTGTAAAAATCAAGACACAAGTTTTAATTTTGAGTTAAAAATAAATATATAGGAGTATGGTGAAAGAAAATATACCAAAAACACTAATGGTAGTTATTGCTGGATAGTAGAGTTTTATTTTCCTTATATTTTTCAAACTTTCTATAAAGAATATCATCTTCTGCTATAGTTAGGAGAAAAAACAAGTGTCGTTCTCAAAAATAATAACAATGTTTGTACTTGCTGTACAATGACAAAAAGCTTCATCTGGTGACTCAAGCCACCTGCATTAGAACTCTCTGAGGCCAGAAGATGGTTTCCATTCAGGGAGACATGTGACTCTACATAATGAAGCTGATTAAATGCATCATCTACAACAAAAATTGTCTTGGGACACACCACAGTCTGCTCTCCTGAACTTACCATAAGTGTGGGGCTGGTGCCCACTCACAACTGAGGTGGCAGCACCTTCCTCCAACTGCTGAATTTTTTCTGATAAAATGAGGTTTTCCTCCAGCACTCTGACCAGTTTTTGCTTCAAACTTTCCTTTGGATCAGTGAACAAAATACAAACACGTTAAGAATCTAAAATTCTAAGGAGTGCTTTTAGAAGACTGAAAGAATCCTTCCTCTGTTTAGTGATAAACTGAATGGAGGTCAGCATCTCTTCTCACTAGAATTTTAATTCATTAATAAACATAGTCCAAGTGCAACAAGCAAATTTATCACATGGAGTTGCAATTTTTCCTGTGAGTTATCCACTGTTTTGGCAGAAGAAGCAGTCATTTTGACAAGTGGCCAGCATTCTGAGTCACCTATCTAAAGATTGCAGAAACTGAACCTGATGTCTGAAAACCCTCTAATGTTAAGAAAAGGGGAAAAAAGACTTAAGGATGTGAGTCCCTTCTTGCTTCCTAGAGCTAGCAGCCTGCTGCTGTCGGACTGGCCCCTGGCTCAGGGCTCTCTGCTCCATCAGAAGGGGAGGAAAGACAATCCCAGAGATATTTACTCTCTCTCACCAGAATTAAACCATGACCTTCAAGACATTGAAGGTCCTAGACATTGAAGGTCCTAGACATTGTCACTCTAGGGTCTTTTTCCCCCCTTCTATTTCATGCCCTTCTTTAGAATTTTTGGATGAGGGCTGGAATTAAAGAGTCATTCTTTCAGAACCTCTGAGTTATCCCTGCCCTGGCCAGCTCTGTTTTCCTGATTTGCCCAGAATGACTTTTCTGTATTTTGGTTCAGGAACATCTAGGTGTTCATGGTGTTGATGCTCTCTATGGTACAGGGCTATTCTAGTCTTGCTGCTCCATCCGTTTCTGGTAAAGGAAAAGTCGGAAAGGGAGATGAGAGAGGCATACCATGTCATTAGGGACCACCTGCCCAGCCTCCTTCAGTTCCATCTCCCTCCTGCGCAAGGCTTTTGATGCGTCTTCAGGATGTGGGCGACACCACTGCTGAGAGGGAGCAGGGACTACCAAAGTCAGAAGCAAATCTCGGGCAGGACCTGCCAAAAATTCAGGTTGGGCACACAGGCCAATCTTAAAAGCTAAAGCACAGAATTCCTAGCCATTAATTTACCAGCTCTGTAGGACAAACAAAGTAATCGAACATGTCTTTTTACAAGAATGTAGTAAGTGGCTGTAAAAGGTGTTTCATGATGGATAAGAAATTACGTCCCATATGCTCTGTGGAGGAACTGCAGCAGACCCTCCGGAAGGCAGGCTCTGCGCTATTTTCCGGTCACTGAGGAGTGGCTCCTGAGGATAATTTCTTACAAAACGAGAGCAAAGAGTCACTGGGGGAAGGAAAGTGACCCTTTGGGCTAAGATTTCTTCTCCTGTATGTCCCTTTAGAAATTAAAAAAAAGTTAAGCCCAAATAACTAAAGTTTCTAGTTTTTACTTAAACATTTTCCACTACCAAAAGCTCCTGAATTCTTCTCACATTGAACAATAAATAAACATATGGGGACAACATTTGCAAAACTGGTTTTCCCCAACTTCCTTAAAAAAAAACACACAAAAAGAGTCCAGGTCATTTAGTCATTAGAGTTTTTCAAATAATAACATTTCAACAGGCATCTCAGAACTCTGATGATCAAGCCCAGTTTCTACTGTATTTATTACTGGCACTTTCCCAAGGATATAAAGTCCTTCTGTAACTATGAACTTGACCATGCTATATTTTACATGTCTCATCAGTCTACATGTTACTGGAAGACTACCAAAAACAATTACAGGAGGAACAAAATAATTGGTACAGAAAAAATGCTGATAAATAAAACAGAAGGGAAGAAGATTACGAGAAAAATGCAGTTTTTAATTGCTGTGTTATTGAAAAATTTTGGTAAGTGATCAAGAAAACAATCCTTGTAGAGTAGAAGCAAGGTTGGAGTCCTTGTCCCAAAACTGAGAAAACACTTACCCAGAAACTTCTTGTTAAGGAGGAGGGAGCCAGAGCCGGTCCAGTGCTTATCCACAAGCTCCAGGAGCTGTCTGAGGACAGTGGCCACATGGGAGGTTCTGGCAGAGATCTGGGGACTGTGGTTTCCTGGCAAACCATGCAAACTGCCCAGGTCACTAGAGAGAGGCTCAAGAAAAAAAACACCCAACCATTTGTCATTCTTACACAACAAGAGAAATAAGAATCCAGACATTTAAAGTGTTAACTTTTTTAAAAAAATTTATTTATTGGTGTTAGAGAGACTGAGGAAAGGGACTACATTCCACTGTATGCATTCCTTGGTTAATTTTTGTATGTGCCCTGACTGGGGGTCAAACCAGCAACCTTGGCGTATCAGGACAATGTTCTAATCAACTGAGCTACTCCGCCAAGGCCCTACTGTGTTAACATTTAAGGAAAAGTAAACAAAAAGATGATGTCATCTTTCAGTTTAGATTTGAATAGAATATTATTTATGTCCAGGACAAATACAATAATATAGTCAAGGATAATTTTAAAAGTAACAGTATCTTCTATCATAATTTTCTGTAGAGATTTTCAGAAGAAAACAAAAATTGTTCTGATACCTACATTATTGGCTCAATATATTATGCTATGTAATAAGAATGATGAAACTGCAGAACATTTTTTAAAAGTTATTATATATCATAAAATAAAGTGGGGAGTAATTAATTAAAATTTTAAGTCATAATAAGCTTATATTTAGTATATTAATATATCATAAATATAAATATCTAATAACATTTTATTTATATTTTTAAATATTTTATTTATTTATTTTTAGAAGGGGAGAGAGGGATAAAGAGAGGGATAGAAACATCAATGTGTGGTTCCCTCTCGTGCACCCCCTACTGGGGACCTGGCCTGCAACCCAGGCATGTGCCCTGACTGGGAATTGAACCAGCAACCCTTTGCTTTGCAGGCCAGCACCCAGTCCACTGAGCCACACCAGCCAGGGCAGTTTTTTTAAATGTTAAATGTTAAATGTTATTGTTGGACCCATATATATGTATAAAGGTAGATCTGTCCAGTACAATTCACAGTTTTTATTCATTCAGATATAAGTAAACAAATATATAGATGTATATCTTAATGAGTTTAAAAATTGTAAATTTTACTGGACAGATCTATCTGCCAATCTTTTCTATAGGGTCTCATGGACTTCAGGAAAGCTGATATATATTAAAAATAGCCAAATTAGTTTTTAATCTTTGGCTCTTTTGATACAAAAAGTTATAGATGATTAACTAGCTAATGCTGTTATATCTGACCATTGTGAAGCAGAATACTAAAGACAGTGATGTTTGTGTGACTTGAGTCACACATGTGGCCTATGATTAATAGGGAAAGGCATTGTAAATGGGATCAACATTTATTCAACAGACCTGTACTGAGCATTGATCATATGCACTGCAAGTTCTGTATAAGGACTGTGAACAAATGAAGAGCTAAAAAACAAGGTCCTTTAAGAAGTTAATGACCTGGTTGGGGAGAAAAGTCATAGCAAGTCTGGTTATATCACAAAGCCACCTCAGAAGAATTTGTCAAAAATGAGTATTTATTGTCCTTGGTTTTTCACATATTGGTAATTTTGTGTGTGTGTGTGTGTGTGTGTGTGTGTATCAAGAAACAACTTGGAAACATATTTGCCTTTACAGAGTTTCTCTCATTTATCACAATGTGGTGAGAGTTGGGAATAATGTTTATAAGCTTTGGAATAATTTTGTTAATTATTATGTTTTTTTAATTTTTAGCAAATTACGGCTCATGGCTTTTAAAAAGTTATTTTTTTATCCTTACCCAGGGACATGCTTATTTTATTTTATTTAAATTGTTTTATTAATTTTAGAGACAGGGGAAGGGAGGGAGAAAGAGTGAGAGAAACATCAATGTGAGAGAGAGATAACATTGATGGGTTGCCTCTTGCACAAACCCCAACTGGGGACCGAAACTGCAACCTGGGCATATGTGCCCTGACTGGGAATTGAACCCACGACCCTTCAGTTTATGGGATGATGCTCTAACCAACTAAGCCACAACAGCCAGGGCATGGCTTATGGCTTTTTAAAATAAATTTTAATAACTTGCCTATGATTCTGAAATCAGTTGGTCAAAAATAAATTTTCTAATCACAAATTCATGTTCAGTTTAATGTTATGTATCATGGGATTATTTTTTATAACTTTTAAATGCTCTTTTTAGCAATTTTCTGATATATGCCTTTTAAGAAACTGAACAGTTTATTTCTTTTATATTTATATCCAAGTAGCTCTTTTATAGCTTTTTATATAAAGAAAAATAGTGTCTAACAAAAAAAGAAATTGGAGTTTTTAAGATTGTCCAAAAGAGAGCATTGAGATTTTAATTCCTATCTTAACAATGTATATGAAGTAGAGGTAAAAAAATTTCCTAGGACATGTCTTATTAATATAGCATCCCAAATATCCTAACTGTTCCTGTACCTGTACTCTAAATACAGTCACACACAGTGCTCTTGTCTGGAAAAATAGGTATCCAGGGGCTGAAAATGGGGAAAAAAAGGACCAAAAAGCCAAGAAAGTATTACAAGACTGCCCCCTTTGGTGAACAAAAATTATAGCCACCTTTGAAGTTTTGAAAACTGAATAGAAAGTATTTAGAGTAAAAAAAAAAAATCAAACTCGTAAACACATGACAGTGTGCAAAAAGATTTCTCAAAACTGAGAAATAAGTGACTAGGAATAGCTGTTCTTGACCAAATCCCCTGTTTCCTGAGAGTAAATTTTTTAAATAACAAATGATTCATTTGACAAAGGATCATGAGTTCCAGGAAAGAAATGGCCCTGAGAGCTGAGGTTCCTTTAAAAAAAGAGAAAAGGCTCCATGAAGGAAGTGGAACCCAGAGAAAAATGAATACTCCAGCAGATGAGAGGAGAGTACAGACATTCTTTCCCGACGATGTGTGCAAAAGCAGTGGCGAAACTTAGCTACTGAGTACAAACTGAAAAATAACGTTCTATTGTACGCCACTGTCATACTATAATTTTGTAAAATGAATTATATTGTATATGTGGAAACAATTCTTGATTTGTTGTTCATTCTCTGAGCCACTCTCAGCTAAAAATACCTTGGATAATCTAATTCATTTTCTGCTTGCTGATATTTTGGGGAAAAATGTAATGACTTTAACTTCTAGACAGAAAAGTGACGCTTTTTGAAGAAAGGTCTCAAACCAGTTAGTTACTTGTGGCCAAAGCAATTCCTTCCTGTGGTAAACACTGTCCTCCACTTGTTATTATCAAAGTACTTCCTCACAATGTCTATGCTCTGGAAGTAGATTCTCCCTGTGACAAAAATGAAGAAATGTGGCAGAAGGAGAATGACTTTCCCAAGGGCAGAAGAATTACAGGCTTTAGCTGGCAGTATTAACCATTGGCCTCTGAAAATCCCCATGAATTTCTAGCGCTCTTGGTCAGAACCACCACCACCCCCAAAAGAACCCCCGTTCTGGTTTTGCATCTGAGGTGTTTCATTCACAAGCACAAACAAGCCAACACTTGCCTCGCTGCAGGTAGCATCTCTGAAACCGTGCTTTGGATTCAGTGTGGCAAGGATATTGTCTTTTCGTTTGAATCCTCTCCTCGTTGGGCTTAATGACCTCTTGGTCAAACTCTCTCTGTTTTCTGAAGTCGCAGTAGGCAACAGCAGTGTGCGTAGAGAGTCTCCCAGGACGGAGTTGTTTGGGAAAGAACCATGTGCTGGCCTTAAATCCCCGAGGCTTGTGGGTAACTGTTGCTCTACATTGACCAGCATAGCAGGGTCACTGTTGAAATGGGTTGTGGCATACAGATCTGTGAAGGAAACAGGCTAGGAGATGAACCTGCCCTTCAACTCTCCCTTATCTCACTTCCATCCTTACCCCGCCTGGAGTCCAAGGGTCATACTCTCTCTGATACGTACCCTCAACTCTCTGGATCCTTTTTTCTTCCACCTGACAAAACCCCAACTCTGGTTAACTCAACTGTCCACATACTCCAGGCTTACACCAGAGCAGTGGGAAGTGGCTGGAGAACAACATGCATCTCTTCACACCATCTTCACTTTGAATTTATGACATTATCTTAACTGGACCCTTGTACTGCCCAGCTATCCTAATATATTCCTCTAGTCAATTTACTGTTCTCTTTTTGAGATGACTATTTCACATCTCTCTTCTCCTTAAACTTCCAACACCATCTCCTCTCTCCACTGTCAGGTGCTGATCTCTTTATTTCCCTGAGAAAAACAGGCAATAAGAGGAAACATCTAGCCTTGGCTGGTGTGGCTCAGTGGATTGAGCACTAGCCTGCGAACCAAAGGGTCGCCAGTTTGATTCCCAGTCAGGACACACGCCTGGGTGGCAGGTCAGGTCCCCAGATGGGGGTGTGCAAGAGGCAACCACACACTGATGTTTCTCTCCTTCTCTTTCTCTTTCCCTTCACCTGTGTCTAAAAATAAATAAAACCTTAAAAAAAAAAGGAGGAGACATCTATGTGATTCCACCACTGAATCTATGTATTCATGTATTTGTATGCATAAATTATCTGAATTCCTTTCTGTTACAATAATTGAACTGTCTGTGTTTCATCTAAGGCCAGCCTCTCCACTGGTGCACTGGATTCCATCTCCTCTTGTCTAAGGATTTTTCTCATAATTTTCCCTTTTCTCTCCTACATCATCAATTTTCCCTCTACTGGATCATCTCCACCACGATTTCCTTACTCTCATCCTCCCCCCTCCAGCTACAGTTCCATTTCTCTGCTCTCTTTCACTGAAAAACTCCTTGAAGGGGTTGCATATATTCAGTAACATTGTCTCTCTGCATTCTTTCTCGAATTCACTTCAAGTAAGGCTTTTCTTAACCACCATTCTCCCGAAGCTTCTCACTAACGCGTTGCCAAATACCACAATCACTTCCCGATCCCAGGCTCACTCTATTAAAGACACCTGACACGATATTGATCACTCTCTCTTCCTTGAAACAGGTTTTTCATTTGGCTTCCAGGACACCACTCCCTCTTGATTTTTCTTCTCCAACCTTACTGGCTGCTTCTTTCTTTTTCTCCATGCTGGTTTCTCTTCATCTACTGGATTTCTAATTGTTGAAGGGCTCAGGATTGGTCTCAGATCTCTTCTCTATCTTACTCCTTAGGCGAAATCTTATCCGGCCTAGTTTTAATGCCATCCATACTTTTAATTCCCTGAACTCAAGACTAATATGCCTAATTATCCAATTGGCATCTCTGGGAAGTTTTAACAGGCACCTCAAATTTAAGATGTCTAAGACAAAATTCTTGATATCTGCCCTAAAATCTGTCCCACTCTTTTCCATTGTAGGAAGTGATAGCTCCATTCTTCCAGTTATTCAGACCCAAAATCTTGACCTTCTTTCTCTCACACTTCATACTCAGTCCAGAAAATCATGAGATGTTATCTTCACAACATATTTAGAAGCAATACTTACCACTTCTAGTACTGGATATCCTCTTAAATGGTTTTCTACATTTCTGCCATTGCTCCCAATTTTATATTCTCAACCCATAAGCTACAGTAATTCTTAAATCAGATCAAGTCACTCTGCTGCTACAAACCCTCCATTGGCTTCTTTCTCACCCGGAGTAAAAGTCTGACTACCTCTATACACCCCTCCTCGCATCCTCTGCTGCGGCCATTACTGGCCTCCTTGTTGTTCCTTGAACATGCTAAACATGTTCCAGCCCCAGAAACTTTGCACTTACTATTTCCACTGTCTAGAAAGCTCTTCTTCAGTTATCCATATGGCTTGTACTCTTACTTCATTGAAGTCTCTACCTTTATTATATCTTATCAGAGAAACTTTCCCTGACTATTCTGTCCAAAACATCACCTTCCCCTTATTCACTCTATACCCTTATTTTTCTTCACAGCACTTATAATAACCTAACATACATTTATATGCTAACTTGTTCATCATCTTCATCGTCTTACCTTCTTTAGAATGGAAGCTCCATGAAAGTAAAGACATTTTTTTATAATGGTAAAATATATGTGGAAATTTATTTTTATTTGCTACTTCATGTACAGAGCTAGAACATTATCTGGCATATAATAGATATTCAATAAATTTTGTTTAGTATATTTATGAATAACTAAAGAGGGTGTCTCCAACACTTACCCCGAAACTAGCTTTTTCTGAAAAAGTAACTCAGAATGGAAGTGACTGTGGCCAGAGAAGACTAGATGCTACTGGAAATACGTCCTGGGTTGCTATTTCACTAAAATAACATATATGTAGCTCATAGGTCTTCAGTATATTTCTATAATATATCTCACATTTTTCCAATATATCTATCATGTTAAACTCATACCCTGCAGATTTCTGGATGTTCCATGTACCGTTGGCAACTCTGAAATACAAATTAAGTAATGCTAATGCAATTTAAGAAATGTTAATTCCAAAATTTCCAGTTATACCTTCTATTTTAATACCTATGAATAAGGCCTAAAAATTGACAGGAAGCTATTACCTGAACTAAGTTTCAAAAGCCTTTCTGTGCTGGAGTCAGGATTTGACAGAGAGGTCAGTAAATCTCCACAGGAATGGGATGTAGTAGCCTTCACGTCATTTGAAGGCTTTATGCTGTATTCGTGGTAGTTCTTGCTTCTCTGAGGCCTTTTACCAAGACTTCCATGCAGGGATAGAGTTTGAGAATAATTTTCCAGACCAACATCCGAAGGTAACTGATAGGGATGAATCTGGCTAGAATCACCCACATCCAGGCGTTTACCCAATAAGGCATCATGGGTAAGCTGATAAGTATCAGGTTTTGGTATCACGTTCTTTTCTGGAGAAGAACCAGAAGACTTATTGTCCACAAAAGACATTCGGTACCCTTCTCTAGCCATCTTCTCTGGGGATCGGACTGTGGACTGGCGAGGCGAGTAGTGTCTGAATTCTAACCACCATCAAGGGAAAAAAAAAAGAGAACAAAATACAATGAGAACTCTTCTTGGCATAGTTAGGGTACCTCTCTACATTGGACATGCCTCTGTCTACCAAAAAAAATTCTCAGGAAGATGGTTTATAATTTTGATAAATGATAGTATAAAATGATGAAAGGACTTCTACATGGAACAACCACACACACACACACACACACACACACACACACACAACCCCATGTTGGATATTATCCAAACAGTAAAGAATCTGTAACATTCTGGAGATAAATTTCATGTCAACCTAATCCCCTAAGAATTTCCTCCTGAAACTATAGTGTCAGTTTTCTGGACATTATTTTCATATAAAAAAATCCGATGCACCCCCATGTGACAATAGTTGTGATTTTATTTATTCAGTCTATAGACGATAGTTGGCAGGTCTATGATTTCACAGACTCTCCAAAATAAAGCTAAGCTCACTCCCACCCCCAGAGGTTCTAGGTTGACACATTGGGAACCACTATCCTAAGCCAATTTGATTGCAGAGAATGAACCTGTGAAAATGTCTAATCTAGCTGTAAAGCATTTGTCTCAGACAGCTGTGTCTGTCATCCCCAAAAAGCCTCAGAGTGGGGCAGGTAGAGCAGCAGACAGACAGAGAAGTCTTAGTGTTCTCCGGGGCAGCTTTCAGAGCTGCATATGCTTACAGGGCTTCCTTAGGGGGAAAAAAATACTGTATCTGAGTTGATCACATTAATTTCAGAGAAGTGGAGCCAAGTATAGGTCTATAGGACCTGAAAGACCCAGGGCCAGCCTATACAGTGAGGGAAAGGTTGTAGAACAATATCTTTATATAACAAAAAAAATCTAAGAACAGGAATGAAATTAGATAATTCAGACTATTCCTCCTGTTGAAGATATTTAAATAGTAGGATGATATGTTCTTAAAAGCAAAAAAGAGCTGGTGAGGAATTTATAGGCCAAATTCTAGGAAACAGCAAGAACTCATATGAAGGGGGACCTCCCAAAATGGAATTTATTTATAAAAAATTGTTTATTTACTCTTAGATGTTCAAACTTCAGTCACCTTCAATGTACTCTCCATCTGATGCAATACACCTATCGAGATGTTTTTTCCACTGCTCAAAACAGTTTTTGAACTTGTCAACTTTGATGTCTTTTAGTGCTTCTGCTGGATTTTGCTCACCTCTTCCACATTGGCAAAACATTTCCCTTTGAGGACTTTTTTCATCCAGGAAACCAAAACAGTCACTCAGGATGAGATTAGTGAATTGGGAGGATGGGACACAGGGGTCATGCTGTTTTTGGTCAAAAACTGCTGAATATTCACTTATCAGAGTAAATCACCTATCATGAAATGTGCAAATGCATTGAAAGAATCTTCAAAAAAATTCACTGAATCCAAATGCAGCCTCTCACAACAATGCCAGCTGGTACACTGATACAGATGGGTTCCTAGAACACTCACCTAGCAGGGAAAGCTTATACTACAACAGGTTCACCCTTCAGAAGATAATTCTGGTTTTTGGGGGGGTCCCCCCTCATAGAGGTAAGTCTCGCACTTAAAGTCACTTTTACCCTAAGGAGTTTTAGGGTAACAGGATTAGAAGTCCAAGTCCAGGATCCATTCATGGTGAAGAGTAGACAAACCATCCCATACACCCGCCCCACAAACACATTAAGATGGAACTGTGAGCAGAATATAACCTTCAGAGTAAAGGTGAACTGGAACTAAACCAGCCCTTGTACTGGCTAATAATCCAAGTTTACAGCATCTGGGTGGTCTAAGAAACCTCAAGCCTTGAGTTTGGATTAAGGTGATCCCAAAATAATAGTGTCCTAGGCCCCTGGTAGAAAGAAATGAAAATCTATCTGGAAAAGATACCTTCATGCAAAACTTTAAATCATTCCTATATATAATTTTTCAAATATAATAGCCAACAAATAGCCCAAACAAACAAACAAAAAAGAAAATAAGACAACACAAATGAGAATGAGTAGAAAAAATAGACAACAAACACCAACTCACAAAAACTTCAGATATTGGAATTAGCAGATGTAGCCTTTACAACAGCTATGTTTACTATGTTTAAAGAAATATACATTAAAAAAAGAAGTATAAAATAAGCTGGAAATATTCTGTTTATAAAAAAGTGACACAGCAGATTTAAGAGAACCAAATCAAATTTATAGAACTGAAAAATAAAGTAATTGAAATTAAGAATGCAGCAGACAGCAGTTATACACAACTGGAGAGAATGTTAGTGAACCTAAAGATGGGTCAGAGGAATTATCCAGAATACAGACCACACCAAAAAAAGATGAAAGAATATAAATGAATAAAAACCAAAGCGGACAAAGTGAAAATCACTTACATATATTTATTTTATCAAGAATCCCAGAAAGACAAGAAAAACTGGACACAAACAATTTTGAAATACTTTCCAGAACTGCCCTGACTGGTATAGCTCAGCTGGTTGGGCATCGTCCCACAAAGTGAAAGGTTGCCAGTCAGATTCCTGGTCAGGGCACAGGCCTCGGTTGCAGCCAGTCCGCGGTCGGGGCACATGCGAGAGGCAACCAATTGATGCTTCTCTCCCTTTCTTTCTCCCTCCCTTTCCTCTCTCTAAGAATAAATAAATAAAAATCTAAAAAGAAATCCACATGGCATAGTGAAACTACAGAAAATCAAAGACAAATGGAAAAATCTTAAAAAGCAGAGAAAAAAAAAGACAGATTATCCTTGCCGGAGTGACAGACTTCCAGCTGACTTCTCAAAAGCAGCTACAAAAGGCAGAACACGGTGAAACACCTTCAATATTCTGCCAACCTAGCCAGCAAAAATACCCTTTAACAATGATGATGAAATAGAGGCATTTTCAGACAACAAAAAATGGAGCAGTTCATCATCAGTAGACCCATACTAAAGGAAATTCTACAAAATGTACTATAAGCTAGAAGAAAATGGTCTCAGAAGGGAAATCTGAGATGAAAGAAAGAAATGAAGAGCAAACGAAGTAGATAAATTGAAATGAACATTGGCTGTATAAAATATCTTGTGGGTTTTAAAAAATATAGAGAATTAAAATCCATAACAGTATACATAAATCAGGACGGATTAAAATGAGTCAGGTACTTTAAGGTGTTTGAATTATCCAAAAGTCAAGGTACTGAATAATTTTTAAATTATATAAGAACACATATTGTAGTTTTGGAAGTAATACTAAAAGTGTAGTAACTGCATAATTTACAAATTAGTAGAGGGAAAAATGGATGAATAAAAACAATAAATCCAAAAGATGGCAGGAAAGATAGGAAAAAGAAACAAGGAATAGTCAACCAAAACAAAAAGTCAAGGACAAAGGAAGTCGGGATATCCATTCCTCAGCCAGAAATGCTTTATGGGTTGCTAAACATTGAGGGCAGCCCCTCACAAAAGCAGAAAAGACTTAGTTGACCACGTAGGGCTCCAGGGCTGAGACATGTCCCAAATCCCATCACATCTAGATTTCTTTGATTAATGTGGCAAAAAATACCCAGTGAACAAAATATTTACCATCTTGCTGGTGATTATCACATGGCACCTCCCTTCTTGCCACTTCCTGCATCTAAAAAAAGTTTGAAAGTTTAGGAGAAGGTGAGCTCACCACAACTGCAATTCAGAATACTTTCCTATTAGTGAGCAAGTCAATCCTTGAAGACTAGGGGAACAGACTTTCAAGCAAAGGTCCAGTTTTAAGCCTATTTTAAAACTGTCACAATACAAACAGTTTCCAGAGTTGCCTTGGAGTAGGTAAGGAGACTCCTTGAAAATACAAAAAATATCCTTAGATGGTAAAGGACATACCAGTGAAATACTATATTTTTCCTGCTTAGATAACTGAGAATAGAAGTTAGATGGGACTACCCTTTCCACCTTTGTTTTTCTTTTTAAGAACTCCCATACTGTTTTACCTTCTGGTAAAGCCGAGTATCAATGCTAGGAGCTGCTGGGAGTTTTAATTGGCTGAAAAGTAATTTGAGGCACAACTGATACAAAATAGGAAGCCAACCACCTAGGGTTTGACTTTTCAAAACTCATCTTAAAATATTTAGTATATTTTTGGTAGCTATGCAGAGAAAGAAATCCCTCTTATTATTTCTTAAATGAGAAGTATACACAGAAAGCTATTTAATTTCTTTTTTCCTTTCATTCAAGAAGTAATTTCAAAAAAGTTGGGTATGTTCATCTAAAAAGAGCTATTTAACTTTAAATGTATATTGGAATATTTTTTATCACATTTTCCTTTAAATCAATACAAAGACATTAAAAATGGTAACTGAGATAGTTCCCAAGTCACCCAAGTAGAATTCTAAAAACAAAGAAACCAAGTAAATACCACTCTGTGTTTTTATAAGATAAAAGCATATACTCAATCTGAAAAAAATACTAACTTTTTACCCATCACTGTTCATTACTCAAATTGTGGATTAATCAGGTTTTTGCTTCCTTTTTTTTCTTTTTCTGGTTATTTTCAGCAATTGCATTGCCCCTAATATATTTTAAAATGTAGACAAAAGAAGTTGAATATAAAGAAGTAAATTCTGCACTATATTCACTCTTACAAATAAGTCTTATATAATGGTTGTATCCTCATTTAATTTTTTTCATTAAAATCTTATTTTAAAAATTTCCCCCAACTTGTATGATTTCTACCTCCCCATTGTCCAAAACTACTATGCCATTTTTACCTGATTTTTTTTTTTTTGTTCCAGTGAAGAGGTAGCTTTGGGAAAGTCATCCCTGAGATAGAAGATTTGGTAATTAAAAGACAGAGGTAGAAAATGTAAAAAGCAAGGTAATAGGAGATGGAAACATTGGGTAGAGAGGAGACATTTAAAAACCAGCCAAAAATTCTAACAGTTGCATCCCTGTTTGAGAGCCAAAATGCTTGGCATAAAATGTGCTGAAGCTATACATATAAATATACTACATTGATAATGGGTTACTGGGGAAAAGGGAAAGGGGAGACTGAAATTAATGCAGAAGGTCCTCTGTATCCTCTCCTGCCTTTTTCTTTTAAAAGGTCTAAAATGCCTTATCAAAAAAGTCCTATTAGATCTTCAGAAATAATTGAGAGTTCACTGAATTACTAGTATTAATTACTGACTAGTCGACAGATCAGCAGGAAAGTGAATACATTACCTGTGTCCCCAGAGAAAAAGGGTCTAATTTCTGATCTGGTATACCGTTGCATTGGGTTGCAGAAGTGCTCATTAGGGAATCCTTTATTTCCCGGCTGGGGAAGGGAATAAACAATCCTTTGTTTGAGTCTGTGTTGAAAGAAAAGGCATACAATGGAGCACTCACAGATGTCAAAGGCAACATGTCTAATGGAAAGATACTAAAAAGGAAGTCACAAGATTGAGAGCTAGTTCTGGTGACACTACTTGGAAACTATGTATACTCGGGCAATTTGCTTAACCTCTCTCAATCTCTTACCTCGCTTGTAAAACAGTGCTGATAAAACCTAACCTGCCTATCTCTTAGGGTTGAGGTGAGGTTAAAACAAGACAATGGGTCTGAAATGGCTTCAAAAGTTATGAAGTGCTCAATAGAAATTAAGAAGGCAAATGTTACACACATTTCCTAAGTGAATAAAACAAGGAACTTTGAGACCAATTCAACAATCCCCAGCTACAGAGGGAGATGGCTGGAACAGACTCCTGACATCACATACGTCCAGGACTCTCATCAGCAGTCTGCTGATTCGTCATTTCAAACCAGCCTCTTTCTGCCTTGATTTCCTCATTTGGAGAAGAAAAAGACTAATCAGGACCTTTACATAGAGAAGAATGTTAAACGCTTAGGTCTCCCAGTATTTTTTTTTAACCTATGATTAGAGAAACAACTTTAAAATCAAAAAAGAAAAAACAAACAAAAATTTTATTTTACTCCTGGCCACTCTGGAAACTTATTTAAAAAGAGCTAGTTAGGCCCTGATGTGGCTCAGGCTCAGTCCTTGTCAAGGAGCGTATGAGAGGCAACCAATCGATGTTTCTCTCCTCCCCTTTCTCCCTCCCTTCCTCTTTCTCTCTCCCTTCCCCTTTCTCTAAAGTCAGTCAGCATGTCCTTCAGTGAGGATTTAAAAAAAAAAAAGCTAGTTAGGATTTCTATTCAGTTATAACACTTGTACAAAACTCTATGCACAGTCTTGATAAATGCTTATTTATTGTAGAATTCTGGGATTTGGGGTCTTCTGGGAGAATGTGGGTGAAAACAGAAATATATGGTTTAGGGAGGTTTTGTCCATAGCAGGACTGTGTAAGAATTGTGATAGCTTCAAAGACTTGGGCCTTACACAAACATGTGTTCTTCTGCTAGTTCTCATCTGCAGGCCCTGGCAACAGAAAGCTACTAGAAACCAGGACAACTGAGAAAACAGAGTGAATAAAGCCAGTCTTTTGACAATCCATCCCCTCAGTCTATTTGGGGCTCTAAAATGCTTCCTATTCCTGCGTTGCCTCCTGGGACTGAAATGTCTTGTGACTACAACACTAACTGTTTAGCCGTCTATGGGGCACTATTCCACTATTGTACTTGACCTAACTACTTTTCTCAAAGTGACATAAGCTATCAAAGTTCATGTTCTCTCGTTTCTATAGTAGTAATAACACAGGGAAAAAAACAAGGTGAAGCAGAAATTGCTGGTTTTAACCTGATTCTTAGTGAAAAAAATGAGAATGGTTACTAAGCTATGACTTTGGGCCCAGGGTTCCTCTTACCCTTTTCCACAGAATTACACTTATATCCCAGGTGTCCAAGGCATTGCTCCATCTTGGTTTTCCTCCTACCACACTCTTCTCTAGATTCACAGGTTCTTTGTTTTGCAACCTTCCTCTTGGTTTAGGCAAATCCCCCAATGTTCAAACTCTTTGCTGAATGTTATCATACCTTCTCTTTGGTTTTAGCTGTCACCAAAAGTTGAATGACTCTAAATCCAAATCTATTAACTATGATCTCTCCTTTTATGTCTAAGCCTAAGTTTCTTGAACTGCCCCCACCAAAGGGTGCCCCATAGACAACTAAACAGTTAGTATTTTCTAAACCAAACTCTTTATCTTCCCTTCCAGACCCACTTCTGCTGACAGCCCTCACCTCTACCCCTTACCTGCATTTTAGAATTGCCATTATTGCCCACCCAATCCTCTAAGATAGAAAGTTATTCTTGGACTCATCTCAAATCTCAAGTACCAAGTTCTACAGAACCACTTTTTGTGTGTGTGTGTGTGGAGGGGGAATATTTACTTTAATTGAGATGTAATTCATATATCATACAATTTACCCTTTTACAGTACACAATTCAGTGATTTTTAGTGTATTCACAAAGTTATACAACCATCACTACTATCTCATCTCATCACCCCACAAGAAACCCAGTTAGCTGTCACTCTCAATTCTCTTCTCCCCATCAGCTCCTGTCAACAAACAATGTATTTTCTGATCCAGTGGATTTGATATTCTGGACATCTCATGTAAATGGAGTAATACAGTATTTGACCTTTCATGCCCAGCTTCTGTCACTTAACATGATGCTTTCGAGATACACATTGTACTCTACCATGTATCAGTACTTCACACCTGTTTAGGCTGAATAATATGGCTTATATGGATAAACTCTATTTTGTTTGTTGATTCATTAGTTGATGGGATTTTGGGCCATAATGCTGCTTTCATTCCTGCACATATCTTGGTGTGGACATATATTTTCATTTCTCTTGGGTATATATCTAAGAGTGGAGTTGCTGGGTCAAGTGGCAACTCTATGTTTAACCTTTTGAAAAACTGTTTTCCAAAGAAGCTATACTCTACCATTTTATTTCCCCACCAAAAATATGTGAGGGTTCCAATTTCTCCACACCTTTCCCATCTACATCTTTGCCATCACTCGTTATCTGTCCTTTTGGTTCTAGCCATCCTAGTGGCTATAAATTGTCTCCTCCTGTGGTTTTACTGTGCAATTTCCTGGTGGCTAGTGATGTTGAGCATCTTTCTTGTGCTTGTTGGCTAGTTGCATATGTTCTTTTGAGAAATGGCTATTTAATCCTTTGCCCATTTTCTAATTGGGTTATTTGTCTTTTTGTTATTGCGTTGTATAAATTCTTTGTATAGAGTGGATACTAGACCCTTGTCAGATATGAGATTTGCAAATATTTTCTCTCATTCTGTAAATTGTTTTTTTACTCTCTTGATAATGTCCTTTGAAGCACAAAAGTTTTTAAATTTAAGAAGTCTAATTCATCTATTTTTCCTTTGGTTTTTAGGCTTTTGGTGTCATAGCCAAGATATAGGCTCACTCCTAAAAAGAAAAACTGCCTCTTCTGCCATTATAGCTAAGTGTGTCATTTACCACAATTGGGAAAAATCAGGAAAAAGAAGCAATTTGCATTCTGAGACTGGCTTTTTTTCTTGGCTTATACTTCAATTTACTTTCTTCTTTTTCTTCAGTTGTAAAAGATATCCAGAACTTAATTCCAAAAGCAAATGTAATTATGACATTGTTGTCTGTTCCAGGTTTTACACTCACATAACCAATGTGATAGAACCATAATTCAATATATTTTTACCACTGAAAATTATTTGATATTTGTAATGACAGAGAAATGGCTTTATAATGCTGCTACAGGAGCAAATAACCCACAGCTGGCTACCTCAGCTACGAGTAGTCATAGTTGGATGAAGCCCCACTTCACACTTTTGGCCAAAAACCTTGTAATCTATGTGAGGCTGAAACAGAGGTGCCCTGCCCAGATCCCTTCCACGGAAGGACCTGTTGCTCTGCAGAGTCTGCCTCAGCTCTGGAACCTGCCTCCTGGTGTCACACCCTTCCACAGGTGGTCCGCGTCCGGTGGCTGGATGAGGCCCCTCCTTTGCCTGGTGTGGGACATTCTGACAGGCAGTCCTCACTCTGCTCTCTCTCTGCTCAACCTTCCTTCCTCTGTTTCCTTTTGGTGCTGATCTCTAATAAACATCTTGTACCCTAGATTCTACTGAGACAAAATTTTAAGAGCAGAACTAGTCTAGCACTAGTCTCCAAAATAAATGAAGCCTTGAGCCATTTCCTTTCATTTGTTAATCCCAATGAAAGCAACTGAATCTCTGACTTTTGAAATTAATATATGATAACCATTGCAGATATGATAATCATGAAAGGAAATCAGTGGTTTTTCTCCTACCATAAACAGATAGGCTGTAACCTTAGCAACCTTGTATTTTTCCCTCTTAAATACCTGATATGTTTTTTTATTCAGAAATTCAACTCTTCTGAAGTTTGGACTCCCTAGCAAAACACTGCAGGTAAAAATACTTAAGGTTTCATCTCCAGGTTTTCTTCTCATTCCTTAAGGACTTCATCAATCTGTGCTTCCTCATTTGCATTCACACTGCTATTATCTCCCTATGTCAGGTCTTTGTGGTCTCCCGCTCGGACTACTGCCTGCAGTTGCTGCCCATGTAAGTACACCTAGCTTGATTTATCTCTGTAAATCATATAGTTAACCATGCCTTTCATCTCCTAAGACATCTTTGTTACCCATTTTCAAGAGAATAAAATAAAAATGGTTACTAAAAGAGGTTTTGCAACTTGAGTTAAGCACTTTCACTCCAGCCACAAACTGAGTCAATTTCCTAATCTGTCAATGCCTGTATTTGCTGCTGCTGTTCTCACTGCATTGAATGATCAACTCTGCCCACTGAATTCTATTTGAATGCCCAATTTAAATGTCTCCTCTTTCGTGAAACCCTTTTCTAGGTACAAACTGCTATTGCCTCTCCCCCACATTCTTTGTTTTTTGTTGTTGTTTGTTTTTTAATCTCTGCAACAATCTCAGCCTCACTTGTACCTAATCAGCTGTGATAAATCTCTGAATTGAGAGTATCTGAAGACCTGACACTTTTGTTTCATTTCCTTATATGCCTAGCCTCTAACACAGGATTTGTCCAGTAGACATACACTTGTTTCCTGAATTGCTTTCATTTCTATTGTGGCAGAGATTGCCTTTATCCACCTCTAAAGAATGCCCTCCAACCCTCATATAAGAGTTCTAGACTGCCAACATTTGGACTTCTATATGAGAGAAATCCAGGTGTTGGATTTCTTCTATCTTGTTTAAGCCACTATTTTTGGGAGTTCTCCACTATTCCAAGCCTGATTTTTATTCAATTAAAACACCACCATGGCTAAACCAGAAGACAAGAATCAACATGTTGACATGGGATGGATTTCAATGAATTATAAAAAAGACAATGACACATCTGCTAGACTGAGGAATGAGCCACTGAGGGTGATTGTGGTAAATTTTTCTTTGTTATTTTTATATAAGATATTCATTAGATCAGGATCTTTTAGATGTGATTCCATTTAAAGACAAAAGAAATTGGCTAAAAGAGTAAGCAGGACCCCTTTCAACTTGCAAAGTATATGTGTACTGTGTACATAGACCTACAGGATAAATGTAAATTATTTTCAATAAGGTATTCACTGCTCTCCAATAATCTGACCTTTTCTATACAACACACACCTTCTACCCAAACCACCTCATCACCCAGTTGTCTCCATGACCTGCTATGTTCATTAGCACTTCCCACACCGTTCACACTAATCCCACAGCCCGTGCCCCTCTCCCTTCAGGCCATCCCAGTGCTCTACAGCCCTGAAGGGCTGATGACTTTGTTTCCACATCTGTCACAAAATCTTTCTTCCCTCTGCTTCTAACTTAGCACACTCTGAGGTTCTATACTATGAGCCCATCTATATCAGTGTTTCTTAAATTCAATATTCTCATAACCCCTGAGAACATGAATACAGCTTTAGAACCTTCAATTTAAGGAACTCAGCATATAAAATGTATTTTAAAAAGCAGGTTATATTGGGTGACAGTTTGCAGTTTCTTACAAAACTAAACACTTGGATAAAAGGAGTTGAAAACTTGTGTACACACAAGCACTTGCACACGGATGTTTATAACAGCTTTTTTCATAACTGCCAAGACTTGAAAGCAACCAAGATGTCCTTCAGGAGGCGAATGAATAAATGTGGTATAACCAGACAATGAAACATTATTCATCACTAAAAAAGAAAGGACTTGTCAAGCCATGAAAAGACATGGAGAAACCGTAAATGCACATTGCTAAGTAAAAGAAGCTATCTAAAAAGGCTTCACACTGTGTGATTCCAACTATATGACATTCTGGAAAAGGCACAACAATGGAGACAAGAAAATATGGTGGAGAAGGAAGCACTCTGCATCTGTCTCCCATCTAGGCAATCATTTTGCTGGCAGAATCTGTCTAATATAATTATTTGGGGATTCTGAAGCCTACTGAAGGTTTGCATCTTCCAAAGAAAGGCTTAGAAAGTAAATTATGTTAACTCTGGTCAATTTTAGCTCTTAGCACAGTGGCAACCACGCATGCCCCAGCCCTCACAAAAGAATAAAACTGGACCCTTACCTAACACCATACCCAAAAATTAACTTCGAATGGATCAAAGTCCTAAATGTATGACCCAAAACTATAAAACTCATAAGAGAAGAGAGCAAATGCTTCATGACACTGGATTTGGCAATGTCTTGGATGTGACAGCAAAAGGCAAATGACTGAAAAAATTGGATTTCATTAAAATTGTTATGCATCTAAAAACAATATCCACAGAGTAAAAAGTCATTTTCTATTTCCAGAGTATATGAACCAGAAGTTATGTGGGTTTATGAAAAAAAATTTTTTTTTGGTTGAAGCAATTTAAAGTTTCACTAAAAAGGATGGATTTGAGTTGGGTCATAAAGAAAGGGTAGGATTTTGATTAAAGCATTCCAAGCAGAAAGGACAGCATTAGTTCAGGGGCAGCGGAGGGAGAAAGGGAGAACTAAATGAGGACGAGGGAGTGGTTTGGTTTGATTGAAGCATTGGACACTGTAGTTAAGAAACAGAAGAAGATAAGGTTACAGGGTAGGCCGAAGAGAGAAACTGCAGCCAGAGTTTAGGGGAGGCTTGTATGTCAGATTAACGAGTCTTAATTTAGTAAATGGTGGGAGCCATGGAAGTTTTGGAGCAGGCAAGTAAGTATGAGTATCACAGCTGAGTTTTAAGAAAAATTAATCTGACAGGAAAGTACAAAATACCCTGAAGGAAGAAGAGACTGGGCAGTAGCATGATGTAATTCATGGTTAAGTGGACTTTGATGATGGATGGACCAGAGTTTGCATCTTAGCTCTGCCACTTACTGTATAACTAGAGCAAGTTATTTCACCTCCTTGTGTCTCAGTTTCCTCATCTTTTAAATCAAGGATAATTATAATCACCTTTGAGGCTGTTGTGAGGATTAAATGAGATAATGCACAGGGCCTGGCCCAGCATTTACACTCAGTAAATGACAGCTACTAAGCACAGCTGTTAAGAGACTATTAGGAAAGGGAAAGAAAGGACTGTCAACTGTGGATCGTACTACAGAGTATGAACATTCAGCTATACTTTAGGGGAGAAAGCAACATCAATCCCTAAGATTCTGAGCGAGACCCTAACTGATGAGACCCTAGATCACAGGTAGCAAACACAAGGCCTGTGGGCTGAATCCAGCCCTCCACCTTGTTTTACCAGGCCTAGCACCTTGTTTCTGCCCAGCGGCAGTGCCGAGCTCCTTGCCCCTAGTTAAGGAGTAGTTACATTTACACAGTCCTAAAATTACCTTCAGCCCTTTGAAGACAACTGAAAGACTGATGTAGCCCCCAGGGAAAATGAGTTTGACACCCCTGCCCTAGATGATGTTTAGAGCTAGAGGAATGGGGTTCACTTGGTTTTTTAACATGTTTAGCTTCAGGGGCTGGAAAGTTATCCAGTGGTGATTTCAAGTATATATTACTAGTTGGTCAATAGAAATGGGGGACTGGTGCAGAGAGATTGATATAGTTTGTTAAGGCTAGACCAGTATATTTAAGAGTCATAGGGAGGAAATAAAGCAAGCTGTGGAAATAGAGGAACTCAATAAGGACAAGGAGTAGAGAAAGAAGAGAGTCTAAAGACATAGTCTAGAAATGCTTATTTCAGGGGTGTGGGGAAAGAGAGGAACCTCTGAAAGAGACAAAGATTACATGGTTAGGAAAGTAAGATGAGGATCCAAGACAGTGGAGATTCCCTGCCTATTCTAAACGATTGGTGGGAAAGCACTGTTTTGAAAGGAGCTAGTGAGAACTGTTCTCCAAAATGTTTTCTCCTAGCTTGTGGCAGGACCATTAACATGATAAACACGTTAGTCATATTGAATTACCAACAGTACTTACAGGCAAAACTCCCCAGGGATCTAGCTCAAACATAACTCTCAGTGGAAAGCAAAGCTCTTCAACGTTTTAAAATAGCAAAATAAATTTTATATTTTAAAAAATCCCAGGCAACAGCTGGAACTTCTTAGAACCTTGAGAAATGGGCCCTGTGTCTTGTAAAGCTGTTTGTTCCCAAGTAGAGATTATGTACTTTAAAGCATCTTAATTCATGGAGTGAATCCTTGTGTGTGGTAATGATGTAATATGATGTAAGTGAAATTTAATTCAGCTCCCACAAAAAGGCAAATTATGCTTCACTGTATCTTTGTCTTTCTGGAAGTGGATATATAAATGCTTGTACCTAGAAAAGAGAGGAAGGTTGTATGCCAAATTAACTGGTATCCTTTTTAGGGAAAATGTTTATGAGTGATTAAAATATTGTTCTTCATGCTTTTCAATATTTTCCAAAATTATTATGATTTCATCAATTCTCAAATACTAAAAATGCTATTTAAAATAAAATAAAGATGCCCTGGCCAGGTGGCTCAGTTGGTTGGAGTGTTGTTTCATACACCGAAAGGTTGCAGGTTTGATTCCTGGTTGGGGCACATACCTAGGTTGCAGATTCGGTCCCCAGTCAGGGCACATACAGGAGATAATCAATCGATGGATCTCTCTCTCTCTCCCCCTTCCTCTTTCTCTAAGATCAATAAACATATCCTCAGGTGAGGGTTGAAAAAAATTAAAATGCAATAAAGAAATGCATGGTCCATGACCTATGTGCATTGAGTCTTCCAAAAAAGGAAAATAAAAATCATACCTCACTATGGCTTATTTTACCATGTAATACTATAAAAATGACTTGTCAATAAATGTCCACATAGATAGATAAGTCAGGAAAATAAACGACTATATGTTATAAACTGAAAATCCTTAAGGTCTAAACTACACAGTCAATCTACTAAATTTATTGGTGGGATTTTAGGATTGACTTTTAACGTTTGTATATAATCCAATAGATCCATCAGAGAGACAGAGGCCTCCACACGGAAGAAAGTTTTCTCAAGTAAAAAAGGACATCTGACAAGTACCAGGTTAACCCATAAGGGTCCACAGCATGCAATTTCTCCAATGGAAAGCTTTCTCCTAGCCTGTGGCACTAGCATCAATGTGGCATAACCATTGTAATATTAGATTGTCAACAATGCTTACAGGTAACACTCCCTAGGAACACAGCACAAACACAGATTCTACAGCTGCAAAGGTTCCAGATGGAGAAGCCCAGAAGGCCCAGTGTGTGAGGTGCACTGATGGCAGATGAGCCATGAATCTCTGGCTAATGTATCAATCACCTTAACAATGTAAAGGGGTCCTTGGGGGACTAGCAATGCAACTTTCAGGGTGTACTGATGATGTAAAGTGATATAAATGAAATTGAACTCTGAGTACAGCTTGTGCTTTGATTGGTCCTGGCTTGGGCTCGCTCAATAAGTAGGGCTCTCCTGGCAGTGAGAGAAAAGAAAAACACAGCCAGTAAATCTTGTGTTGGCTTTAAATCTATGTTATTTCTCAACTATTTTGTCTTCATTCTACCCAAGATTCACCACAAAAGCTGAAACAACTAATGTTTTAATCATTTATGATTAGAGAGAAAACTTACCAGTTTCAATCCTGTTATCAACATTTGTACTGACTTTTGATACACAGCTTTCATCTGTCACACAGTTTTTCATTGTCTTCTCCCTGGAGCTGCCACATAGAATAATTGGTTTAAAACTCAAAAGAAGGTTTCTGAGATCACCAATAAATGCTATTTAGAAAACACTAATTCATGATGGTCCACATTTTAAAATGCTCTAGAACATATTGATTTCATAAAAATTTCAGTTAAAGCCATTTTAATTTTTAAATTTTATTTATTTTTAAGATTTTAAATTTATTTTTAGAGAGAAGGGAAGGGAAGGAGAGAGGGAGAGAAACATCAATGTGTGGTTGCCTCTTGCACGCCCCCTACTGGGGACCTGGCCTGCAACCCAGGCATGTGCCCTGACTGGGAATCAAACCAATGATCCTTTGGTTCCCAGGCTAGCACTCAATCCACTGAGCCACATTAGCTAGGGCTAAAGCCATTTTTAAAGTCATATTTTACTGGGAACATGATAGAAAACAACATTTATAGTTCAGCCTTTCAAGTATGAAAGCCAGAAAATTCAGAATTTACACACACTGTTTTCTTAATGCAAACTTAGGTCTGAATGATTTTGAGGGAATAAAATATTTACTTTTGAATTAAAAAGCTCAAAACACAGAAAGGAAGGTTCCATTGCCAAGAATTATAGTGGAGAAAACTATAGCCATTAATTAGAAAAACACACAAGAAAGGCAAGTAAGTGTTTGCGCTTCACTAATGTACTACAATTAAATTGAGAAGTACAGTAAGTAGGCAACCTTGACAATGAGGCAGGCACTTCACACCCACCATTTGATCATAAAAGCTCTCCTATGATCTAGTATCCCCATTTTATGGGTTGGGAGAACTGGGACTCAGAAAGGCTTAATTTTTTTTTTTCACCCAAGGTTAGAGAGCTTGTAAGATAATACTGGGCATCTGAGTAACATTTTACCTCTGGTTTTGCAGTCATTATATGGTAACTAAACAGAAATATCATGGCACTAATTATTTGCCTTACTAGAAAGTTTATTCATTTATATATTAATTCATCTCTGTATCTCTATAGTAAGCAGTGTACCCCAATGCATTTAAAATTGAAATTACACCCTGGCTGGTGTGGTTCACTGGATGAACATCAGCCTGCGAACTGAAAGGTCACTGGTTTGATTCCTGGTCAGGGCAAATGCCTGGATTACAGGCCAGGTCCCCACTTGGGAGCTTATGAGAGGCAACTGATTGCAGACTGGGTTCCCAGCTGGAGGCATATGAGAGGCTACCTATTGGTAAATTCAATGTTTCTCCCCCTTTCCTTCTCCCTCCTTACCACTCTCTCTAAAATAAATAAATACATAAATTAATTTAAAATCTTTAAAAAATAAAAATCACTTTATAAAATATATGTATACAAATGATTTTTACAACAATCTTCTCACTTATTTATTTTTAGAGAGAGGGGAAGGGAGGGGGAAGAGAGGGAGAGAAACACTGATAAGTTGCCTCCCACAGGCCACCAAGTGGGGACCCAGCCTGCAACCTAGGCATGTGCCCTGACCAGGAGTCAAACTAGTGACCTTAAGCTCTGCAGGACAACACCCACCCAACTGAGCTACACCCAGTTGCTCAGGGCTATACAAACAATTTTTAAGAGACATTCTATTTCTTTCTACTGAAGGATGAATTTTACTCTATATAAATTAACCTCAATAAACCTGACTTTGAAAATAGGTGACTAAAAAAAAACAAGGAACTAAGGATGTTCTCTGAGGGTTACATTATTAAACATATAACAAACTCAGAGCACAGATAGGCAAAGTCACTAGAAAAGAGAAGGATCTCAAGCCAACAGGTACTGACTTCATTCATTCATCATTCAACAGATTATTTCTTAGCACCTTATATGTGTTGGACACTGTTCTAGGCGCTAGGGATACTGCATAAACAAGAAAAGCAAGGTCATTGTTCTCATGGAGCTTATGTTATAGTGGAGAAAAAGGCAATAAAAAAGCAAATAAATAAAAAACTCATTCTAGGAAAGACTATTTAATGGTGTGGGGATATGTTCACGATATTGTATTTAAAATAGTATGTAGAGGAAGCAAATTACTATAAAATAAATGTATTTTAAAATAATTTTGTCACTATATTATATAGCATATATTATATATATTATATACAGACATACACACATAACATACCTAAGACTAAAAGGATATTTACCATAATATAATTGGTGTTTATTTCTGAGTAGTGGAATTATGAGTTACTATTTTATTCTTGTATTCTTTCTGTACATTTTGAAATTTACATTATGCATGCATTACTTTTATCTTCAGAAAAAAATACTAAAGATAAATCTGCATGTTATCCATAGGTACACAAAAGTTTGGAAGAATGTATACTAAACATTGCTAGTAGATAACTCTTGGTAACAGAATATGGAATGATTTTGACTTTTTTCACTGTACTTTTCTGTATTATTTAAATTGTTGTAAATGACTTCTAATTTTCAAAAATTATACCCACTTTTTAAATATATATATTTATTATGTTATTATAGTTGGCCTGATTTTCCCCCCTTGGCCCCTTCCACCCAGCACACCCCCAATCCCTCAGGCAATCCCCACACCGATGTTCATGTCCATGGGTCAGGCATATAAGTTCTTTGGCAACTCCATTTCCTATACTATACTTTACATCCCCATGGCTACTCTGTAACTGCCTATTTGTACTTCTTAATCCTCTCATCTCTTCACCCATCCCCCCACACCCCCTCTCATCTTTTGCTTTTCAGGTTCAATTGTTGACAGATAGATATTTTTTGCCATTTTATTGTTCGTAGTTTTGATCTTATTTTTCTCAAGTAAGTCCCTTTAACATTTCATATAATAATGGTTTGGTGATGATGAACTCCTTTAATTTTTTCTTGTCTGGGAAGCTCTTTATCTGCCCTTTGATTCTAAATGATAGTTTTGCTGGGTACAGCAATCTTGGCTGTAGGTTCTCACTTTTCATGACTTTGAATATTTATTTTTTAATATATTTTATTGATTATGCTATTACAGTTGTCCCATTTCCCCCCTTCACTCCCCTCCACCCTGTACACCCTCTCCCACCCACATTCCCCCCCTTTAGTTCATGTCCATGTGTCATAAGTTCTTTAGCTTCTACATTTCCCATACTATTCTTGCCCTCCTCCTGTCTATTTTCTACCTACCATCTATGCTACTTATTCTCTATACCTTTTCCTATTCTCTCCTCCTCCCACTCTCTTATTGCTAACCCTCCATGTGATCTCCCTTTCTGTGGTTCTGTTCCTGTTCTAGTTGTTTGCTTAGTTTCTTTTGGTTTTGTTTTAGGTGTGGTTGTTAATAATTGTGAGTTTGCTGTCCTTTTACCATACATGTTTTTTTAAATCTTTTCTTTTCTTAGATAAGTCCCTTTAACATTTCATAAAATAAGGGCTTGGTGATGATGAACTCCTTTAACTTGACCTTATCTGAGAAGCACTTTATCTGCCCTTCCATTCTAAATGAAAGCTTTGCTGGATAGAGCAATCTTGGATGTATGTCCTTGCCTTTCATGACTTAGAATACTTCTTTCCAGCCCCTTCTTGCCTGTAAGGTCTCTTTTGAGAAATCAGCTGACAGTCTGGTGGGAACTCCTTTGTAGGTTACTGTCTCTTTATCTCTTGCTGCTTCTAGGATTCTCTCCTTCATTTTTACCTTGGCTAATGTAATTATGATGTGCTTTGGTGTGTTCTTTCTTGGGTCCAACTTCTTTGGGATTCTCTGAGCTTCCTGGACTTCCTGGAAGTCTATTTCCTTTGCCAGAATGGGGAAGTTCTCCTTTATTATTTGTTCAAATAAGTTTTCAATTTTTGACTCTCCCTCTTCTCCTTCTGGTACCCCTATAATTCGGATGTTGGAACGTTTAAAGATGTCCTGGAAGTTTCTAAGCTTCTCCTCTTTTTTTAAAATTCTTATTTCTCCATTCTTTCCTGTTTGGTTGTTTCTTTCTTCCTTCTGATCCATGCTATTGTTTTCAGTCCCAGTTTCCTTCCCATCACTATTGGTTCCCTGTGCATTTTCCTTCATTTCTCTTATCGTAGCCTGCATTTGTTCATCTAATTTGCGACCAAAATCAACCAATTCTGTGAGCATCCTGATCACCAGTGTTTTGAACTGTGCATCGGATAGGTTGGCTATCTCTTGGTCACTTAAAATGATGGATTCTGGGGCTTTGATTTGTTCTTCTGTTTGAACCATCTCTCTCTCTCTCTCTCTCTCTCTCTGTCTCTCTTTTTTGGTCTGGTCACACCTGTTACAGTAAGGGGCAGAACCTTAGGTGTTCACCACAATAGGGCACCCTAGTCGCTGGGTTGTGACATTGTATGTGGGGGTGGGGTCGAGAGGGAACAATGGTGGTTGCTCCATTCTCCGTGGGACCTCAGTCCCCTCTGCTGCTTCCCCCAAGCAAACTGGGCCCCTCTGGTGCCAATTCCCGTGTGGGTGGGCTTGTGCACGCCGTGGGACTCTCCAAGGACTTCCCCTGTGAGGCTGGGTGTCTCTCCATGTGCCTCAACTCCCACAGGTGACCTCAATCAGTGTCCTGAGGCTCTATTTCCCAGCGCTGTGATCCTGGGTTGTGCGCACTGCCTTGCTTTACAATCACTGCCTCACTGGGCCTGCCGGTTACCGGTTGCCACCCCTGGGCCGGGGTCTGCCAGCTGCCGCCTGCATACTCAGGGTCCACCTGCTGTGGTCTTGAGTGCCCCAGATGCCTTACGTGCCGGTCCCACTGCTCTCTGGTCTCTGAGCTGTGACCCGCGCCTGGCTGCTCATCTCCACCCCTCCTACCAGTCTGGATGCATGGGTCTAATTCAACTTCTTGGTTGTCTTGACTTCCATTCAGATCAATTTTCTATCATTTCTGGATGTTATTCTGTTTCTAAATTGTTGTTGTCCCTATTTTGGTTGTGTGTGGAGGTACGGTGCGTCTACCTATGCCTCCATCTTGGCTGGAAGTCCTCGACTTTGAATATTTCTTACAATACATTCTAGCCTGCAAAGTTTCTTTTGAGAAATCAGCTGACAGTCTTATGGGAACTCCCGTAAGAGCTAACTGCTTTTCTCTTGCTGTTTTTAAGATTCTCTATCTTCAATCTATGGCATTTTAATTGTAATGTGTTTTGGAGTGGGCCTCTTTGCATCCATTTTGTTTGGGACTCTCTGTGCTTCCTGTACTTGCATGTCTATTTTCTTCGCCAAATTAGGGAAGTTTTCTTTCATCATCTTTTTCAAATAGATTTCCAATTTCTTGCATTTTCTGTTGTTCTTCTGGCACCCCTATGAAGCAAATGTCGAACCTCTTGAAGTTGTCCTAGAAGTCACTTATACTATCCTTCTTTGGATTCTTTTTCCTTCTTGTTTGGATTGGTTGTTTTTTGCTTCCTTATGTTCCAAATCATTGCTTTGATTCTTGGCTTCATCCACTCTACTGTTGTTTCCCTATAAATTGTTCTTTATTTCAATTCGTGTATCCCTTTTGTAACTGACTGGATTTTTTTATGCTGTTGAGGTCCTTACTAAGTTCTTGAGCATCATTATGACCAGTGTTTTGAACTCTGCATCTGATAGATTGCTTATCTCCATTTTGTTTAGCTCTTTTTCTGGAGTTTTGATCTGTTCTTTCATCTGGGCCATGTTTCTTTGTCTCCTCATTTTGACAGTCTCCCTGTGTTTGTTTCTATGTATTAGAGCTGCCTTGACTTTTGTGTCTTCATAGTGTGGCCTAATGTAGTAGGTGTCCTGTGTAGTCCAGTAGCACAGCCTCCCCTATCACCCAAGCTGGATACTCCAAGTGCACCCTTTATGTGAGCTAAGTACACCTGTCTCTTATAGTTGAGACTTGATTGCTACTGGCAAGTAAATGCGAGGGAATTACCCAGGTCAGTCAGCTGCAAAGACTGGCTGTGACCACTGACCACCAACCTCTGCCCTCTGTGGAAGATCAGCTGTGCAAGGGTGGTAGTGCTACAAAGTCGTCTGTAGCTGTCCAGTGGGTGGGTTGGCCAAGGTCAGCCCCACCTGTATTTTTCCTGGGGCCATGCTGCCTGAGATATAAAGCAATCTGAGATGGCTGCTACTTGTGCTGGGCTTGGAGATTCCCAGGTGAAGCCAAGCTGTGAATCTAGGCTAGTTGCTGCTAGTGCCAGGCCTGGGGCTCACTGAGGCCAGCTGTTGCTTGTTTAAGAGGATTTAGGAAGTTGTGAAGCTTAAGCCAAGACCAGCCATTCATAAGGAAAAGAAGCTTGGGTGGGCCTATAAGTTGGCTGGGACAGAGTCTCTGGGGATCTCCAAGGCAGGTCAAACAGTGTCAGCTAGGTTGATTGAGTCTCAGATACGCCACTAGCCTGCTGGGTGTGTGTGGGGAGGGTTCAGAAAAGGGACAATGGCCTCTGTTCGCCTTGTTTCCTGATACCTCAGTTTCTCCCTCTATGCCAGTGGTGCCTTTCAAACTCCTACTGTGGTGCTGGAGCTCAGAGGGAGTGAGTCTGAGTAGGTGAGTCCATGTGTGGGTTCTTTAAGAAGAACTGGTTGGGGCTCCAGCAACTTTATCCACTAACTCAATCCCCTCTGGTTTTTGCAGCCAGAAGTTGTAGGGACTTTTGTTCTTGGCTCTGGAACCCTAGACTGCATGGCTTGGTGTCGGGCTGAGACTCCTTGCTCCCAAGATATCCCTCCCGAGTTTTAACTACCATATGTGGGTGAGGGACCAGCCCGTTCCTTGTCTGCATTCCTCCTACCAGTCTGGATGGATGTGGTTACTTTGATTCCATACTTGCCAGACTTCCATTGAACTTTATTTCCGATGGTTCTGAGTGATGGTTGTTCTATATTTAGTTGTAATTTTGATGCGGTTGTGCAAAAAGGTGAGCCATGTCTGCCTATACTGCCATCTCAACCAGAAGTCTTATAAAACCACTTTTTTAAAAAAGCATGTGTTTTGGAGTAGAAGATATAGTACCTTATTTTGATAGGGTTTTAGTAACAAAGAATAGAAATTCTACCACTCAGATACTTTAGAGCTTCAAGGTCTGACTACTTTTGGTTTTGTACAGAAATGCTTCCGTCATTATTCTTTAACAAATGTATTTCTAACAACCCTGCCTATGGTAACATAATACTCCTAATTCAACAGGAAAAGACCATGTACTGATTTATAACTCTACCAAGAAACGTTTGTAAGCATTTGTGCAGATAATGAGTTATCTCACAGTATCTCTATCTATAAGCTTTCAACACAATTTTAGAGAATTTACAAATATATTCAAAACAGATCCAATAGCTTAAGAAAGCAGAAATGTTCCCACTGAGGGCCAGATTCTCATCCCAGATAAATCTCAATATGTTGGATAGATACTTTTATCTTGGATCTGTTTTGTGGAGATTTCTGCTGGAAAATGAAGAAAGTTAAGCAGGAATTCACTGCTCTGTATGTGCAGATCCAAAATAAAAAACTTTTTGTACAGAATCTTCTTACCTTTTTTCCACCTCTAAAAGAAAATTTTCACTGTTGCCCAACTGACTAAAATGCAGCTTGGCAGCTTTTCTCTCACTCTCTCGTACGGCTCGGTCATCTGGAGGCAAAAACCGTGATCTGAGCATGTTTCTTTTTCAAAGTAGACAGTGGTGAGTCAAAAAATCATAATCACTGCGTAAAGACTAAAGACCAGTCTTTTGTTAGAGACAGGTCATAAAATAATGCTATTATGTTGTCACTGGAGCAAGCAGTAACTCCGGGAGACTGCACGGGTACCATAGCAACAACTGCCACATAGGTGTAACTAGCCCTGCAGTAGAGCTTGGGCAACAAACAATCTAAATGGCCCAATCTTAAAGCTGAAAGTTACACCATTTCTGAGAGACTTCTCTTAGTTTCCCTATAATAACCTTCCCAGGAACATGTGAAATCAAATTTTATATCAATCAAGGTATACTCAACAATAACATTATAAAGAAATAGACTAGCTAATTTGAAGGAATATTTATTGTTCCTTGCCAATGCAGTCCCAAAGAGTTATATTTGTTTTCTACTGCTAATACAGTTACAAAGTTGAGGCATCTGGAAAAATAAATTTCAACCTGGAAACTTTTTGTTGGGGAGGAAATGGTGGTGAAACCATCAGCTGAAGAAAACTAAAGCTGGAAGTAACTGATAAAATCATAGATTGTCATTCAATAAACAATAAAAGGACTTGTCATACATCCTGCCAACAGAAGAGTTACATAAATATTGACTAATAAACAAATATATCCTGCCAGTGCACACTTTGAGCCAACATCAAAAAATTAAGAGGCAGCTGGTTTAAAATAAGATTCTGGGGCAAGTAACAGGGAACGAAGGTCTCACCCAGTTTCTCCAGAGTTTGTAGCGTGTACACAGCAAAAAGCCTATAATCTGTATCTTTCCTGACAACAGGATTGAGTCTCAAATCTAGTTCTTTGAGGAAGGATAAAGGCTGTAGGCGGGACACCTCCACTAACGAAGGAATGTTGTTATAATACAAATTCAGGTCTTGGAGTGAACATAAACACTGGATGCCCTGCAAGGAAAAGACCACATTATGAAGCTGCATGTTGATAAGGACTAGGAATCTCACAAATAAAGGTGGAAATATATCTATTACTTTCCATGCATAAGCATGTAACCCAAGTCACCAATGAGAAAAGCAGGGTTGAAACTCTCTTATTCTGAGAATAAGAATACTACAGGGTTAATAATTCACAGATCTCATACATCTTCTCCTTTACAAAACCTGGCATTCAAATAGCTGTGGTGAATTCTCTTCTTCTGTTGCTTCCTGATCACTCTCCCAATCCAGTCCTTCCCTGTGGCAGCCAGGCCAAGTCCCTTTTGCCCTTCTCTCACTCTTGCCACAGTCACACTCCTGAGCCCAGAAACACCATAATTTACAACAGGAAGGGAGGTGGGCACAAGATATGGTTCTGGGGGAGAAGGTCAATGGACTACATGGGAAAATAAAACAATGCTATCTCCAGGTCTTTCCTCCTGGACAGGTCTAGAACCCCTCTCGTCCCTGTTTCAGAGTTACTGCCACCATATAAGCAAATTCTTCCTTCTTTAGTTCTTCTGTGGGTTTGGAAATCCCACCCCTCCATTTATTTGGCAACAACAGAATCAGGACTAGGAAACTCAGAGGAAAAGCTACAATATTCCTCCTTTGCTGAAACCTATTACTGAAAATAATTGTTTAATGTTCATGTATTTGACTAGTTTGCCACTTTTGTCCAACACTAAATTTCAGGACAATACCTCAAAACATGTATATAATATATATAATCACATACTTTCAGTAATAAAAATGCTTACCATAAAAGGAACTCTGTCATTAAGAGTTATTTCAGAAAGTTAGAATTATTTTCTACCATGTACTTATAAAATAATGTTTTTATTCTTCTCCCACTTAAAATAGCCTTTTTCTCATTGTAGGTAATTTGGAAAACTCAAAGATATACACAAAACATTTACAGATAGAACGCTGTCTATACTCTGATGCATTTCTTTACAGCTTTTTCAATTCCATTAACTTCTATATTGTGAAAGAGATAGTGGTTAGAATACTTATCAGTGCCTTTGGCCACACTCTCAGGGTAATACACCATTAGGACTGTCTTTAAATGTGTCTAATGTCCCAGCTCAAGAAATCTTTTAATGTTTCTCAGTGTAAAAATCAAGGAAATGACTTCTCCTTTTACTTTTCCTAGTTGGCATGAATTCATATATTCCCCAAAGTTACACTAGAAATAATATAAAACATATCTCCCCTGGGAAAACTAAGCAAAATGATTCAGAATTAATAGAGATTAATATATGCAGATAAATCATAGATGCAAAAAATGTAGAAAACTAACATTGACTAAGTGCTTCCTATATGAAGCACTGTACCAGGAGTCTTATAAATGTTACATGTGACCACATATGCTAATCTGATCAATCTTCACAACAGTTTTATATCCATTTTACAGAAGTGGAAAGAAAGGGAGTATAAAAACAAATTATAGCATTGTTTACTCAATTATTTTAGCCTGAATAAGAACAAAAATACATGTGAAAAGAGAAGACTTAAGCAACTCTGAACTAATACTTTCTGGCTCTGGTGGGCCCAATACACACGGCTGTTACCAAATAGTCTAAAGCCCTAGGCCAACTTGGAGTTTCTGCTTTTAGAGTCCTAGCTGGAAATTTGCACTTCCTCTTTCGGGGCTCTTAATTTTAGACATTGACATTGGGTCTGGCTTGTGTTGTCAGACAAGTATCCCCTAGGAAGTACAAAATTGGCAGAATAATCCAGGAGATCATGAACTAATCCTACATAGCATCTCAGAGTTTTTCACCTTCTTTAGCCTTGCAAAGAAGGGCTTTATCAAGACAGGTACCTAGCTGGGCAAAATGGGAACACATGGCAGAAACACCATTTGGGGATCTGCCACAAAGGAAACAAAATTTGCATCTCTGTGTGCACATGCTTAGGTCCATAGAGCTCTTTTCGTGTGTTTAGTGTGTTTACTAATCTTCACACACTGCTCAATTTCCTGCACTGCCCTTTGCTCCACCGTTCCCTAACCTGGAAATTTTTATTTTCAAGGCCACCATTTCCTCCTCTTCCTTGAAAAAACTCACAGTAACAACTTAGTCCAGTGTTTCTTCAAGTGTGTTCCACATACGAATGCCATCCCTGGGATATTTCCTGAGCCCATGTCAGACCCACTAACTCAGAATCTCTCTTGGAGTAGGGACTAAGAATCTATACTTTTATAAGTGCTCCTCATAATTTTTTCCACAAATTAAAATGTGTACTATTGTTCTAGGTTGTGATAGTTTAATGCAGTTTTCCCTAGTACAAAAGGAATTTTCCCAATGTTTTATAAAAACATAAAAAATTTCAAACATAGAACAAAGTTGAGAGAATTTTACAATGAATAATAAAATTTAGTTTAGAAACATGTAAAACGAAGATGCAATATTTCCCTAGCTGACATTATCTATCTCTTATTTCTTCCCATCAAAAAATAAACAAACCCTGGCCGGTGTGGCTCTGCTGGTTGGAGCATCGTCCCATACACTGAGAGGCAACCAACTGATGTTTCTCTTCCTCTCTCTCCCTTCCTTCCTCCTCTCTAAAATCAATAAGCATGTCCTTGGATGAGGGATAAGTAAATAATTAAATAGGCTGAACTGGCTGATCAGTGAATGTAGAACTTACCTTCAGGCTAGTGATCAAATTTCTTGATAAATCTAAGGATCGGAGGTTTTTAAAATTTCTGAAGGCATCACCAATGGAATGGATTTTTCCAGCATAAGATCCCTGCAATGAAAGAGACTCCACCAATTCTGAAAAGAGATCATCAGTAGACATATTATGACCTCTGCTTGGGTGAAGAGCAGTAAGTGAAAATAGGCCTTCCTTTCTCCCATATCTCACCTGTGAGAGGCCCTACATCCAAGGCTAATAAGATCAGATCTTTCTTTTAAAAGCAACAATACAATCTAGTACAGTCATAAAAACCTTGGTTTTACAGAACCCTTGGGTTTCCCTAATTACCCTGAAGGATGTACTTAAAGTCTCCAAAAGTTCTCAAAACATAATTTTTTAAAAATCCAAAACTCTCACTGTTAGGATTTTAGCCTTGTAGATAATACTCACAAATTTTTGCCAAGATGTATAATATATACCACAAGGATGTCAACTGCAGAAAGGTTTTAGGAGAGTTGGGAAAAAAAAGAAAGAAAAGAAAGGGTCCATCAGCAGAAGAGTAGAACTAGATGTCCTAAATAGCAGTATGTTGATACAATGGGAAATGCACTAGATCTGTGACCTTGTATAAGTCACTGAACTTTTCTGTGCATTAGTTTACTCACCTGTAACATAAAAATAACAGTACCTAATTCATAAGGCGTTGTAGGATTAAATGAATATGTATACTAAACTTACTACCAGACATATGGTGAGTGCTATGTATGTGTGTTAATTATTGTTATACAGCCATTAAAAAGAGTGATATATTTATAGATGCTCATATGGAAAGATCTCCAAGACATACATTAAGTGAGGAAAGTGTGATTGTGTGTGTATAACCATATGTATAAAATATGACTTTAAATAACTTTAAAATATATATAAAGTGTGTATATATATGGAGAGAGGGAGAGAGACAGAGAGAGAGAAGGAGGGAGAGAGATGTGTCAACTAGACTTCTAAGAGCACTGAAAAGAGGAGAACCTCAAACCTGTCAATAGAAACTCACTGGTGAGTGTGTGTGATGGACCAAACTGAGAATAACAATCAAAACCGAAAGGAGGCAGGTCTGCAAACCAAAAGGCTGCCAGATCAATTCTGGTCAGGTTACATGCCTGGGTTGTGTTGGGGCATGCGAGAGGCAACCATCTGCGTTTCTCTCACACATCAGTGTTTCTCTCTTTCTCCCTCCCTTCCTGTCTCTTTAAAAATAAATAAATAAAATATTTAAAATAAAAACTGAAAGGAGGTTCCAATTTGCAGGTGAGTGCCGGGGGACTGCACTGAAATAAGGTCTAAGGCTGCTGGAGCAGTCTAGGACCTATAGATTCTAGAAAGTAATAAACTGAAGATCCATTTCAAGACACTACCCACACCAGGGAGGACGTAGTGGGAGCAGAATCAATGTGGAATGGGACAGAGAAACAGGTTCAAAGAAAAGAGAAAGACCAAATATAACTGTGGGAGGGAAGCAAAGATGGCAGATATTGGGGGAGCATAAAGCCCTATTTTTTAGTATTTTGTGAACACAACAGAAAAGAAATCTCCAAAACTTTGAAACTAGAAAAGCTATTCTGGCCCACCCTTCTCATCTAAAAGTATAGGGAAAATTACTGTACTTAAGCAAAGACCAGAGAAAAGGATTATGGTCAAATTTTATATGAAGTTATTAAAAGAAAAAAAGAGCATAACAACATTGTTAAACAATGACAGCACTCCAGAAAGTAATATCCACAAAACAAATGAAAATTGTAACAGTATTTCAAAGCAAGCTAAAAGATACTGTAGCAAAATGTAGCAGTTCTCAAAGTGTGGGTCCCTAGACTTCTGCAGGTCCCTGAGACGATGTACAAGGACCACAAAATCAAAACTACTTTAGATAAGTATTTTTGTAATTATAGCAAAACCCTGATTAGCTTTTTCACTGTGTTGACATTTGCAATTATGGAGAAAAAGCAAAAACTACAGGGGCCTTAGGATGAATCAAGGCAGCATCAAACCTCATTTATAGTCATTGTATTCTCCATCACTGTATGCTTGCAGTGTTTTTAAGAAGCCAGCTTCACTTAAGAATGTCCTTGGAAAAGCAGTAAAAGTGGATAATTTTATTAAATCTTGATGCTTGATTGCATGTCTTTTTTACATTGTATGACTAAATGGGAAGTATATATGAAGTACTTCTGCCTCATATCGATGTATGGTGGATGTCCTGAGGGAAAATGCTTGTATGATTTTTGAGCTGTCAGGCCACTTTTTAATGGAATACCATTTTAACTTGGAAAAAAACCTGACACATTATGGTTATTCAGACCTGATATGTGGCAGAAATTTTCTTGGAAATAAACAAAGTGAGCCTGTCGCTTCAGGAAAACAACTCACAATAATTACTGTCAATCATAACATTTGAGCTTCTGAGCAGACGTTAGAATTTTGGAAAACTTGTATTTGCCACCACAAACTTGACAGTTTCCGAATATTTAAAGACTTTTAAAAAAGATTTTACTCATTTATTTTTTAGAGAGAGAGGAAGAGAGGAAGAAAAAGAGAGACAGAAACATTGAGGTGTTAGAGGAACATCAGCGGGGTGCCTCTTGCTTGCCCCCAACAGGGGACCTGGCCGGCAACCCAGGCATGTGTCCTGACTGGAAATCAAACCAGCGACCTTCAGGTTTTTGGGTTAACGTGCAACCCACTGAACTACACCAGTCAGGGCTAAAGACTTTTTGAATGAGATTGGTGATTATATTAACAAACAGGATTTTAAATGTTATATAGTGAAACTTACCAATATTTAGAAGATCTACATATCTCAGCCAGTTGCTATTTTTCAAATGACTAAGGCATGATGTTACAAAATCATGTATGGGTAAAAGATCCATTTAAATGCAAGATATACCAATGGGTTTTAATGTAACAGAGTGCAAAAAAATACACTGACATGGTTTTAGATTCCACATACAACTAAACTTTGGGAAATTACCATTTGTCCATTTTTAATATCATATCAAATAAGAATATCCACAATTCTCTGAAAAAGATATTAAAACATTCCTTCCTTTTCCAACAACATATCTGTGTAAGGTGAGATTTTAAAAAATATATTTCAACCAAAACAACATATAACAGATTTAATACAGAAGTGGATATGAGAATCTGGCTGTCTTCAATTAAGACATTAAAAAATTTGTAAGAATATAAAACAGTGCCCCTCCTCTCACTGTTTTTCATTTTGGAAAATAGTTATTTTTCAAAAATATTATTTATATTAACATATAATGGGTATGTTAGGGTTATCTTTTAATGAGTTAATAAATATTTTAAATTTTTCTCAGTTTTTTAATAGGGTAAAAATTAGTAATGTAGACTACATTAATAAAAGCTCTTTGAACTCCTCAATAATTCTTTTTTAAATCCTAACTCTTTTTTTAAAGATTTTATTTATTTATTTTTAGAGAGGGGAAGGGAGGGAGAAAGAGAGAGAAACATCAATGTGTGGTTGCCTCTCATGTGGCCCCCACTGGGGACGTGGCCTGCAACCCAGGCATGTGCCCTGACTGGGAATCGAACCTGTGACGCTTTGGTTCGCAGCCTGCGCTCAATCCACTGAGCTACGCCAGCCAGGGCTTTTTTTTTTTTTAAGATTTTAGCCCTGGCTGGCGTAGCTCAGTGGATTGAGTGTGGGCTGCGAACCAAAGCGTCACAGGTTCAATTCCCAGTCAGGGCACATGCCTGGGTTGCAGGCCGTGGCCCCCAGCAACCACACATTGATGTTTCTCTCTCTCTCTCTTTCTCCCTCCCTTCCCTCTCTGAAAATAAATAAATAAAATCTAAAATAAAAAGATTTTATACTCCTCAATAATTTTTAAAAATAGAAAGGAATCCCAAGACAAAAAGTTCAGTGCTGAAAAATGTAAATTAGAAAAATTCAGAAGAACTATTGAAAAAAGGAAGATTTAAAAATAGCAAAGACAGAACTCAAGAAATAATAAAAATAAAATTAAAAGGTAATTTCAGAAGTGAGTACCAAAACAAAAAACAAACAAACAAAAAACAGAGAGAACAATTCTACTTCCGGTATATATCCAAAAGAATTGAAAACAAGGAATCTAACAGATATTTGCCCACTCATCTTCAGAGGAACATAACAACAGCCAAAGGGTAGACACAACCCAAATGTCTATAATGAATGAATGGATAAACAAAATGTGGTTGCACAGTGGAATTTCATTCAGCCTTCAAAAGGAAAAAAATGATACATGCTACAACGTGGATGAACCTTGAAAACATTATGCTAAGTGGAATAAGTGAGGCACAACAAAAGTAAAAATATTACTGGCTGGTGTGGCTCAGTGGATTGAGTGCCAGCCTGTGAAAGTAAAGGGTCACTGGTTTGATTCCCAATCAGGGCACATGCCTGGGTTGCAGGAGGTCCCCAGTAGGGGGTGTGTGAGAGGCAACCACACATTGACGCTTCTCTCCCTTTTTCTCCATCCCTTCCCCTCTGTCTAAAAATATATAAATAAAAAACTTTTTAAAAATAGTAAAAACATTGTCTGATTCCACTTACATCAGGTACCTAGAATAGTCAAATTCATAGAGACAGAGAGAAAGGTGGTTGTCAGGGTCTGCGGGTAGGTGGGATTAGTGAGTTATTTTTTAAAGGGTACAAAGTTTTGATTTGGGAAGATGAAGAAGTTCTGGATATGAATGGTGGTGATGGTTGTACAAATTGCAAATGTATTTAATACCACTTAACTGAGCACTTAAAATGCTTAAAATGATTTTATGTTATATATATTTTACTATAATTTTTAAAAATGGAGAGTGTCTCTGTAGATATATGTTATAGGTAAAACTATAAAACTTTAAAAATATAAGACAGGAGGAAATCTAGGTGACCTTGGTTTTGGCAATAAGTTTTTAATAAAACACTAAGTATATATTTAAGATGAAAAAGAAATGGAGTATAGTCATGCAATGGAATACTACTCAGGACTCTGAAAGAATATCCAAACCTTATACTGAAAAAAGCCAGACACAAAAGACTATATACCATATGATTCTTGTTATATGAAATTCAAGAATAGGCAAACAA